TGGGCTTTTTTAAAAAGTACCTTTATTTAAACAGAAGTGCAAAGGCAAAGATTGGATCTAGGTTTGTTTTTGTGTTGAAGAAAATCAAAGTCTTCCCTTCTTTTCTGTTAAGCCAGTCATGGAGTTAACCACCTTTACATCTTCAACTGTCCATTCCGTAAAATAAGCTATACAGGCTGCAGACTAGCTATTCTTATAATTTTAATCAGCTAGAAAGGGATTATTAATTATTAAATAAATTGGAAATAAATTATATGTGCTTAATTGCTTTAATTTAAATCTATTTAAATTTGAATTGAAATTAATGGTTGGCTTGCATTGATCCCCTCCATTTTTTGTGTTCTGACCTCACCATTTTCAGAAGCTGAACAAGATATTTCACAGAGGTCAAACATTGGTTTTAGTAAAAAAAAAAAAAAAAAAAAGCCTATGTATCCCTCTTTAAAATGGAAGATCCACTCTGTAAAATAACCTAAAATAAACTGAAAGCATACCAGGAATAGAGCTGCACTAGGAATGCTTCCAGATAGATAATGTCTAACTATCAATCCAAAAGCATTCTATACTTTATGTGTCCCTTTTTGTGTCCCATTCCTCCCCTTTACCTTGCATCTTGTGAAAAAACACACTCAAGAGTATTAGAAATAGAAAATGTTATTTGGCTGTCCAGTATACAATTCTTTGAATCAAGCAAAATTATAGTGAAACAGCGGTTCTCAACCTATGGGTCGCGACCCCATTTGGGGTCGATCGACCATTTCAAGGGGGTCGCCAAGCAAGGCTGTCCGCCATTTTTTCCCCTTTTCCGGCAGGTGCCTTACCTCCCTTGGGCTGGGCCAGCTGGTGGCCCAGCCGGTGGTCGGCCTGCTCCGTCTCTGCCGCTTGCCAACTCTGCCTCGGCCGGCGCAGGGGGCAGCACCACGCATGCACGGTGCTCCCGGGCAGGGAAAGTCCTCGACTTATGACCGGTTGGGTAGTCCTCGACTTACGACCGGTTTAGTCCTTGACTTATGACCGGTTGGGGATCGCAGCATTAAAAAGGTTGAGAACCACTGATCTAGAAGCATCCAGAAGGTCAGACATATTGGACTAATGGTAGATGTAATCTCCCCCCCAATCAACACTAATAAATTGGCATCTTTTTCTCAATTCTCACCCCTCCTTTTCAGAATTCCTCTAATTAGAAATCCCTATATCTAATGAGAGAAATCACCAAAGAATTTTTTATGAAAGAAAGTAATTGGTTAAACACCTGAAATGATGTATGTCAGAAAATCAGCATTATGAGCTAGAAAATATTTGGTGAACTCCTTATTTCATAATCAGAATCAGCCGTTCTGACACATCTACAGAAACTTTAATCCTCTGCTTATTTTTGTGTATATTTTGAGGAATCCAGAAATCAAGGTAGGATTGTTCATGGAAGTTCACAATAAACTATTACAATCATCTATTTGATAGCGAATGGGACCAAACTTTGATATCTTTTGCATTAATCACCCTATCTGCACATTTTAGCTTTACTAAATGTTCTACATTTCATAGCCAAAATTAGTTTGTATAGTTAATGAAACTGCTGCCACAGTTTTGCCACTTGTTTCCTTATCTGCTACATTTTGCAAGCATTTGTTGACTTTAGATTATGTTTATACTGCTGTGATTTTAAAGTCTTGTGAAACAAGCAGTGCCCTGTGTATAAAGTAGACATACAAGACTTTATATTACCTACTATTTCCACAGTTGTAAATCTGTTATATTGATTTAGGAGATTAGATTAGCCTGTGAATATAAATATTAATTTAACCAGTAGGCTAGCCAAAGTTATATGACAAATGAATACCACTTTTTGATATGTTCCATTGCCTTGTAAACCTGTCTAGAAAATGATGATCTATAATAAACAAAAGACAAAATGTTCTTATTATTTTAAACTGAACAAGAGAATTACACCTATGCTTAAAAGTCCATATTGATTTAAGAGAAATTGAGAATAAACAGAAATCTGGGAACATTTACCAGATCAGTGATTTGAAAATACTGTAGTATCATTCCATTCCAAAAGAGTATTTATTGTCAGGCACAAAGAATCAGGACAATTCATAAGGTCACAGTATAGATTTATTTAAGCCTATGCACAAGAATCTGGTCAACTAAAGTTCAACACTAAATTGGAGTCAGACAAAACTCAGCAGTACTTTTTCGTGCGGCTGCTGATAAAAACAGGATCGCCAACATGATCGTCAATGTCCGATAACGGATATGGCACAAGAAGAAGGGTTGCAGTTTGGGCACTCGGTCTCTAAAAGGTTCGCCATCACTGGCTTAGAGTGTAAACCCAACCAGTGTTTGAACCAGATAACCAAGTGTATTTTGAAAAGGCCCAGGGACTGTATGCTATGTTTCTGGAAAGTGTTAATGGATTCTCAGTGGGAGGCTATTATAAAAATAATAAGTCCCTTTAAAATGTATTGTCCAGGCCAAGTTATTTTGCTGCCTAAACTCTCTAAATTCATTAAAATTCCCCATGGGGGTTAAAGATACACAATAACTCAGATGGCAAACTGATGTCCTCCAATTGTTCTGAATGACAGTTCCCACAATTGCTTGCTAGTACTCATTCAGACTAGAACTGATGGGACTTAAAGCCCCTCCCAAATCTAGAGGCCAGTAGATCTCCTCATGAAATACAATTTTTCAGTGTGCATTAGAAGACTATAACGGAAATGTGACTAACATTGCTTTTCCAAAGAACGCTTAGTCCCCTATTCAAAGCCCTCCTGGCCAGAGAAGCTGAGAAAGGAAACCACAAACACAGTTTCCATCTCACAACAACCCTAAAGTTTGAGACAGCAACATTAGGTAATAGTTCTTTAATAATCCAGATAATTTTTTCCAGATTGTAGAGCTAACTACCTGATAGATCAAGTCATGGTACATTAAACTTCATCTGAATTTAGAATGTTGATGAAAATAACAGCAACATTCTAATAAGAAGAATATAGTCCATAGGTCAGACTCGGGGCTAACTAAAGTCCTGTTTCATCTTTCCTTAGGTTTAATACTTAATGGTATTGAATTTTTAGTATATATTACACATAAACTAATATTTATTCAGGACAATAAACTACTCTAAATTATAACAAACACTGTAAAACTCAACATAATCCATAGCAGCCAATTGTGCACACATTTAAAAACATTTGTTAAAAAGCATACCTGTCTTTGATTCTGAATGACATAATTGGGCAACTTGGTTTTTCAACTTTTGCTGTGTAACAGAAATGAAGAATTCTCTTAATTTGTGATAAGAGAAATACAAACTCAGGACTTACCAAAAACAGTTAATGGAAAAAAAGGCTACTAGTAGTATCAAGAATCTAAGAAAGGACAACCAAAGGAAAATTAGGAGGCAAGGCAACAGCACTGTTAAGGCAAAATATTTTGTTTCTAAAGGACTGATATAAAGTTTGGTGTGTGTGTGGGATGGATGGATGGATGAACAATTCACTTGGAAAAAAAACACATGGAGATTCTTCACAATAGCTTGTCATTCCAAAGTTTGCATCTGAAGAACTCATTCACTAAAATAAGGGAGGAAGATTTATTGTTTTCACATCTCACACAGACATGCATTAAGAAAAAGGGAATTATTCTATTGCATTCCTAATTTTATTTATGGCTGGAATTAACAAGTTAGGTTGGATCTTATCAGTTCTACGTTTCTGGAATTAAAATGCAGATAATTTGTGCAAGAAGACTTAAGACTAAGTTAAAATTAGTGGAATTGAAGTTAAACTGCCATTCATCAAGATATCCCTGCCATTTTTCTTTCAGCACAAGAATAAATGCATTGTTTTCACACTGGCTAGCTGAGTTTATACATATTTAAAATGTGAACAAGTCATAAACTGGATTCATACATTGTTTGTTGAGTAAGCCACTATTTGGTTAATTTGATTTATTCTTGAGCCCAGTTCTTTATGGGTTCTAAAACACAGTTAAACAAACAGGTTTGTGAGCACAGCCATAATATCCTAATTCACACAATGCTGAACTAAAAGCAAACAAAGCACATTATGGATTATGATGGACTTACTACTTTTACAACTCATTTTTTACTAACAGAAGCTCAAAGCGGTACTAAACATTCCCTCCTGTACCAAAGGTGCTTTCTTCAAAAGGCAACTGGATTTTGCTTTTCCTTGAAGATGTTCCGCTTCTCATCCAAGAAGCTTCTTCAGAACTGAAGTGTCTTGGATGAGAAGTGAAACCTCTTTAAGGAAAAAGAAAGTCCAGTTGCTCTTTGAAAAAAGCATCTTTGGGACAACCACAACCTGGGTGACTGAGAATCTCCATTCCTGTTTTTCCACACATCCTCTGAGGATGGTTGAGGTTGAGAACAAGACTGGTCCAAAGTCATCCACTTAGCTTCCATGAGTGAGAAACTGGTCTCTCCTCTTGTCCCATAATTACTGCTCCATGTTGATTTTCGTACCAATGCAGATATTTGTTCCTGCTGCAGCGAATTGTTTTGCGAACGGCCGTTAATAGGATACAGAACTTTTCACTGCCAGCCCTTTCTGCATTTCATTTTCCTTTAACCTCATTAATTAGAAACTCCACCAGACGATGGCTGCTTACAACTCAATATAAGGCTTCATGAATCGGGGTATACAGCGTGCAAAAGTATAGAACATGAACGGGACCGATGCCTTTTGCTGGCGAGCCCAAAATAAAGTCTCAAAAGCGAGCATCGCTCCCCCTGCTTTTCAAAAATGCTAACCAGAGACCCACCGCGTCACACAACCTACCACGTGACCCCGCATTTAATTCTGAAGCCGCTCGCTATAGCCAACTGACCCCGCCTGTCCCCCACCCCAACTTTCCAACTCCCGTTTCCAAAGTGATACTTCAGAGACGCAGCTTCATCCCCCCCCCCGACGCACGCATGCTTCCGTCTCTGTCCGCGCATGCTCCGTAGCAAGACGGAGGCGCCAACCGCTGTGATAGGGAGGAAAATCTCAAAGGGTGCCGCCATATTGCGGATCTGTCAGCGGACGCGGCGCTGCCGCAAATCCGGCAAGCCCCCGAGGGAAAAGAGCTCGCCGCCGCGGCCCTCAGAACGTCTCCGGAGCGCTACCGGGCAAGCTGTGCAATCGGCATCTCCCGGTCCAGCTGTTATTCCCCCTCCGATCGACTCAAAATCAGTTGTCTAGACCTTCGAGAGCAAGCATCCGTCGAGAGCTGGCCGCCCCCGGCGCCTTAGTTCGGCAGGTGAGGAGGCGAGTTAGGCAGGGAGAGAAGTTACGTGCTTGTGTTTATTGTGGCCACCACTAGGCCGCTCTTCGCCTTGTCCTATGTTGTCTCCCGCGGGTCTCCCTAAAGCCTCGCCCCCCCTCCCCCCGAGATAGCTTCCTATAACCTGGCGCTCTCCAGAAGTAGCGGACTTAGGGCTGTCCCACGCCAGCTTGCTTGAGGGAACCGAGGTCCACAATCCGCTCTGGGACAGGCGTTGGAGAAGTGGCGCCGCTTCCCGGCACGCAGGCTGCAGTGGGATGTGTAAAAAGCGGTGCTCGCTGTCTCCGGTTATTTATGAAGGACGGGCGGAGAATGTTGCTTTCCTTTGCCCACTGCGATTTCTCCTCTTTTCCTGACAGCTAAGCGTATTCCAGCGCTTCCTTCTGCCAAATTTCCCCCTTCCCCGCATTTTCCCTTCAGCCCCAGGTAGAAAAAAAGGGGTGTGTGGTTAAATCAGTTCACTCACGGTTTTGCATCACTTACCCATAAAGTTAACTAACAAGGTACAGATATTTAAATCGTAGATTTCCCCTTCGCCGGAGGTGCTCGCAAATTTATTGCGGATAGATTGGGGGAGGGGGGGAGGAGAATACCTGAAGTTATAAGAAGTGGACTAAACATGAATCCTCTAAGTCGGGGCTAGGTAAAGTAAGTTCCCTGAGACATAGCGGGTTTTGCTCCTAAAGAAGAGTTTCTGATTCTTAATCGTATATGTGCTTGCTTGCAAGTATGTATTCACTACTACCTCTAGTAAAGACAGCAATTCTAGGTAACAATATGGAAGCAGACTGCATTAAGGTGCATGATTTCTAACACTGAGAAAGTTTCTATACAAGAAAGATGTTGAGATATATAGTACCTATATCAAGAAATTTTATCTCTGTTTCCAAGGAAGAGCTAGATATTGTTTAGATTCTTTCTCTTTTCATGCTGCTAGTAAAATCATAAAGGCTTAATGAAAACAAGGGAGCTAAAATATTTCCATTATGTGCCTTAACGAGTTGTAAGTGGGGACAAATACATTAACGTATTTGTTAACGGTACACAAATGTTTCAAAGTTCAAACATTCTGAGTTTACGGTGTTCTCATTTCAAACTTGAAAGTAATTTTTAAATCTGAGATAACTCTTTCCATCTTACTAAAAGTATTCTAACGTTTTTTTAAACCATTCTGAAAGTGTTTCTTATCTGAAAGAGCCATGTTTTGCCTTCAGAAAAGGACATTTGAACTCAGAACGTTTGTGGAATGGTGAGAAAGTGTATTTCGGGCAGCTCATTTTGAACTTGAAACACTTTTAAATGTTTGAGTTTGAAATATTTCAGTTAAACTGTTGCGTCCATGTGGTCAGCTCTGCAAAAGCTGTACTCAGTTTCCTGTCATTCAGTTTATTAGGAGGCCGGGAGAAGTCTAGAGGATTTGCTAACAGGAAAAACAAGGTTATTGGAGAGAGAAATGTTTCTCCAGATTCTAATTACTTCCTTTGCCTTACTTGGTCTTGTTGGATTCCATTACTTAAATCCAGCATTAAAAAGCTAAAGAATTTTGAATTTTAAAAGTAAAGGTATAGGTTTCCACTGACCAGTTGTGTCCAATTCTAGGGGACAGGGCTTATCTCGGTTTCCTAGCTGAGGAAGCCAGCATTGTCAGAAGATGCTTCTGTGTTCATGTGGCCAGCTCACAGAATAATGTTACCTTCCCACTGAAGTGGTATCTATTTATCTACGTGCATTTGCATGCTTTTGAACTGCTAGGTTGGCAGGAGCTGGAGCAAGAACGGGAACTCCCCTGTCACATGGTGCTTGGTCTCAAATGCCAACTTTCCGGTTGACAAGCCTAGTATCTTAATCGTGAGGCCACCATGCCCCTAATTTTTACTTCACAATAAAATCTTAATTTTACCCCACAACAAAATATCAGGAGTAGTACAAGAATTGAGTCAGGTGTCCTAATTATATAACAGATAGACACAGATGTGAAAACTTTTATAGTTTTGCAAAATTCTACATTTACGAAATGTTAGTGGTTCATTTAGTTTGAGCATCCACTTATGGGTTCATGATAAAACCAGAAAAAATTAGTTTAATAAAAATGACCTTGTATGAAACTGTTCCAAAGTAATGGCCTGTTGTTAAAAACAAATAACATTTTATTAATGCCTGGTTTTAATATATTCAATTACATAATGAGTATAGACAGCTTGAAAAATTTGGTTGTAATTCCACTTGTTAAAGTCCCATTGACCTAAGTGTAATATAGGCAACTTTCATATATAATTGTAGTATTTTAAATCCATAATTCTTTTGTGCTTTAAGAACAGAACAGCAGCTGCAGTGGATGACAGTATAGTTTGAATTAAATGACATGTGAAATGCATTTTTAAAAATCTCTCTCTTGCTTTTTCTTTTGTAAAATAGCAGAAGGGGGGCTTTGATGTATGAAGACTGGTTCTAAACTTTCTCTTGTGTTCTCATTATATATATATATATATATATATATATATATATATATATATATATATATATATATATATACACAAACACACATACATACACACACACACACACACACACATACACACACACACATTCTTATGTATTTTATTTCTTTGAGGGAAAGTAGGCAGGAGTGCAGATAGCTTCAAGAGATGTTATTTTTGGGGGGTGAACTTTATCACAGGAGGAATTACTTTTTCCCATGGCTATTATTAAATGTAACATTTAGATGTTGAATTCACTAATTCATTCAATATACCTTCTTCTTTAGCCCGAGAGTCAATTGATTTCAATCAAGTGCCTACTTTAGGAAAATCACAAGGAGAGAATAAAAACAATACTCTTCACTTTTGCTTCTGGCAGCTGATATTCAAGGCATAGTCTTCCTAAATATGCTGATAGAATGTTTTTCTAGAGTTTAGACCATTTTAAAAGCTATCCTATGATAATTAGTTTTAAGGTCTCAGCCCAACTCACTTCGTGGAGTTGTTGTTACAGAGAAAATAGGAGGAAGGAATATTAGGTTTGTTTGCCATCTTGAGTTATTCATAAAAAAGGGCAGAATTTTTTAAAAAAAAATCTAAGAAAGTTAATTATACAGTCTGTAAAGAAGTGATTCTTTTACAAATATTCTGAAAATCCTATTTCCTTTGGGGGTGAGATGGCTTTGTATTTTAATATTAATATGAGTGAAGGCTCTGTTGATCCTTTTTGAGTGAAGGCTCTGTTGATCCTTTTTATCATATTGATAAATCTTGATATGTGCAGGTTACTTTCTTCATCTCTGACCCCAGATTTCTAGTATGTTGACTATAAACAACAGTATCCCTGCAGATACTATACCTGCCAGCATCTTTGTCTCTCCTTACTTTCTAATATATTTTTAAAATGTTTAAAAATGAATATATGAACAATGTTGTAAAGCAAAATATCAGCCTCCTGTATCATTTTTCAAGAACGCATCTGAGCCATCAGTAATGGCTATAACCCATTGCTTATTTTGGAAAGCTTTCTTTCTTTCTTCCTCTCCAGAAAAAAAAAATCCAAGGGAAACTAGTATTTATAGGGAACATCCTGAGTGGTAGAAGGCAACTTCACCACTTCATATAAATGCTTCGTAACTGACTATTCACCATTGCAAGCTTTTTGTGGCAATCAATATAATATGCTATAGAAATTGATCTACTGACTCAAAAAGGGTTGTGGATATTTGCCCTGAACGCCTTTGAGCCTAATAATGGAGATAACAGGTTTTTCTTTATAAAAAAACAAATCTCTAATACTGTATTAAAGTAAAGGCAAACTCAATGGTATTGTGTTAAGGCAAATATTTTTACACAATTATTTTCAAATATGACTGTCATCAATTTATTTTAAGGCTTGAAATTAAGAATCTTTGTTTCTTATTGTGATTTTTTTCACCAATTTATCCACAAAGATAGCAGTTCAGGCCCTTTGTGAACAAACTTAAAAGTTTGAGATGATTTATATTAAAGTCAATCACTTAACTTTTCATTGGATTTCATTTGATGTTGAATAGATTATTCATCCAAATTTGAATATATCTTTTTGGTAATCCATGATATTTTCAGCCTGTTAAAAAAAATGTCAATCCCCTCCCCCTCTTCCAGACACATTGTAAATATATGGTCCAAAATTTTAACCAGTTTTAGTCTCCCAAGAAGGCCTATATTCTTGTCCCATGTTTAGGGATGCATGTTTAGAATCTCAGTGAATGACTTTTAAAAAACTGTTATCCTAGCTACTGATTCACAGTTTTAAAATACTGTAATGAATGTACTTTAATTTACTGGATGAAACGGATTATTTTGCACAAGGTTTTTTCTTTAAAAATGTGATAGTAAATGTAACATTAATAGCATTTTGTGGTGTCTGAGGGAATGGCATACTAATTTCTGTTTTATATGGTTTATGATGATGTTGGAAAATGTGTGTCATTTTAACATCTAAAAGATTGATGTAGGTGTTTTGGAATTTGAAACCTTCAGTCTTGTTTATAATTGACACTTAGGAATCCAAAACATTTCTCTAATTATGGCTTATAAGATACTAATTTCAAGGAGAGTAGGATCTAAGAATAAAATATAATGATTAATACATATTGGAAAATAAGTGCTGCTCTTTGATTACATGAAGATCTACATCTGGGGTATGGCAATATATATATTTAAAAGTATCTTAATGTTTTCAGTAAACTTCATGTGCAAGATAAAAATAAAAATGATGATCAAATTATCCTTTTTCATATATATAAATGCTTTACAGATATTTTTAAGAATAATGAATATTGAATTTTAAACTATTTAATATAAATCCCCAAAGTATCAACTAGAAGTTGTTAAGTATATGAAATAGCTAATCAACAAGTAGCATAACATATTTTTGACAAAAATATCACTACAATATACTATGTTTGAAAGTGGTGGTCAAATGATTTTTTTGATTACAGATTTAAAATGCTTTAGACTAGAGGATCTTCCCATGGCTCTTTAGAAATTGGTTGGTTGGAGAGCAGTAATCTGTGAATTCAGCTAAAAACTTGCAAGAAAATACAGTTAGTCCTCGACTTACAACCATAATTGAGTCCAAAATTTCTGTTGCTAAGCGAGACAATTTTTAAGTGAGTTTTGCCCCATTTTACAAACTTTCTTGCCACAGTTGTTAAGTGAATCTCTACAGTTGTAAAAATAGTAATACAGTTTTTAAGTGAATCTGGCTTCCCTATTGACTTTGTTTGTCAGAAGGTTTCAAAAGGGGATAACATGATTCTAGGACACTGCAACTGTCATAAATATGAATCAGTTGCCAAGTATCTGAATTTTGATCATGTGACCATGCAGATGCTGCAATGGTTGTAAGAGTGAAAAACAGTCACAAGTCACTTTTTCAGTTTTAACTTTGAATAATATTAAATGAACTGTTGTAAGTCGAGGACTAACTGTACAAAGATCCACATCACACAAAGTTGGTGGGAGAACCATTTTGAGGAGACTGCATAAGTGAAAGATGGTTAAGAATTGCATTAAATAAATAAAATTAAAGCACAGTGCAGCCAAATTAACTTATAATGTAGGGAGAGATACTGTAATTCACAAATCCCCTGTAAAACGGGGAATATTGTATTAGGAGAATAATACAATATTATAATACAATACAATTTTAAAGCATGTCTCATGCACAGCTCTGCATCTTTCCATAATACAGGAATTGATTTTTGCACTGTAACTACGACTTTAATGGCAAACAGTATAATTATATTTTTCTTCTAGTTTAGGGGTGTCAAACTGCCGGCCCGCGGGCTGGATGCGTCATCAGGAAGCCACGCCCACCCCATTGCCGGCAATGGCAAAACTGTCCCGATAACGTTGCACGTTGCAAGTTTGACATGTCTGTTCTGGTTGCTTAATTTATTAAAGTTGCTTTATGACAACATACTGCAAATTGGTTGGAGTATAAAAAAGGAGAAAGTTGGAAATTAAATATTTACCTATATTTTTAAGGATTTATTATTATAAATAATATAGTGGAGATTTTGTCCACTAATTTATATTTTTTAAATCAAGTTTTTTAAATATACTCTACTTGTTACTATTTAATAATGTCAATAATTGTATAACTTCAGTAATTATATTTTCTTGAAACATTCTTTTAAACAAAAGGATTATAACAAAACTAAAAAAAATAAAATGAGCACAGAGGGGTGTGGATAAACTTTTTAAAAGAGAAAATGTATATAATATCACTGTATATGCTATATACTAAATAAAGTTTTAACTGTTAAAAAAATTAAAAAGCTATTTACTAGTTACCTTTCTAATGCTTAAATTGACACCATAAATGAATATATACATTTAAATAAAAATGTTCAACCAATTGGGATAGAAAGTAAGTTTCACAAAAGTAAAAATAAGTATATTCTATTTCCAAAGCTGTGCTTTGCATAAGTGGACTTCAATTCTTAAATTAATTTGATCAAATGACAAATTTTATGTTTACATGTAAATTACAGCAAACTTTTAAATTATTTTATTATAAAGATATATCTTATATTCTTTCATTCATTTTCATTCATTATTTAATTCTAATTCTATGCAATTTCCTTACCACTAGTAGGTTTGGAGGATTGTTAACAATATAATAAGCTTGCTACTCTTAGCAGAAATTAACATACATGAAGAGATAAAATTATAATAGGTTCTTAACAAGTCCTTAGTGTGTAATTTAACTATGTGATGTTGGAGTGATGTAATAAAGCAGACTTAATAAATATAATTTAAGAAAGATAGTACTCAATGGATATGATGCTAACTAATCTTAGTTCCATGTTTTGGTTTGTTCATATGATTTGTAATCTAGCTAAGACCTGTGTAGAAACAGATGATAGAAACAGAAATAGCTATTTTTTAAAATCCTTTTGGAATAATAATAATATAGTAGGCCTTAGATTTACTTTGTTCTATGTGTTCTAAATAAATTCTAAGCTGTTTTATGTTTAAAATATCTTGGAATTTTTTTATGGCTGCTGTTTTTAGTATTTATTAGGACCTCTTCAGATTCAGTTGAATCTTAATATTTTTTCCACTAATCTTGCCCTAGCAACTAACTATGGAGCAAAAATATATGATCAAAATGCAGTTGTAAGATCCAATTATCATTAAAACTTGTAATTCATAAAGTACTACATATTGAGATCTGTCCTATTGCTTTACAGTTTATTCTTCCATTAAAACATAGGAACTAGTTGAAGAATAGTATACATGTATATTCTTTTACTCAGGTAAACTATTGTAGTTTGGAAAATTACTGTATGAATATTTCACAATAGATTAATATAATATAAACTATATACAATTATTTTGTTTTAGCAGAAGAAAAGAGAAGAGTGAGTAAGAAAAAGAGAAGAAAAGGAAAATGCCGAAACCAGTAAGTAACCTATATGGAACCTTAATAGTCTTTGATGGACTTTTAGTTCTTATAATCCCTAAGTTATACCTAAGGATTACTAAGGAATAGAGTTTACAAAGTGAAGGAGTACCGTACTTTCTGGCGTATAAGACGACTTTCGCAAGCGTTAAAATTGGCGCCGAAGTCGGGTGTCGTCTTATACACCGAGTCGTCTTATACACCGGAAATAACGGTAGTTTCCGGCATATAAGACGACTTTCTAGGCATATAACTCGGCGCCGAAGTCAGGGGTCATCTTATACTCCGGGTCGCCTTATACGCTGTAATATACGGTATATTTCAATATATCCAAAATATCTATTCTTCCCTTGATCCCAAATAATAGTGGTAAAGCAGCTAAAATAAAACAGAATAGAGTTTTCCTGTGTGCTTAGTGCTGTTTCCTTTGTCTCCCCCTCATGAAAAAAAGCTATTTTTGTGATGGAATGTGCACCTGGAGAGACAATAGAGAGAGTTTTCCCAGGGAGAAGGCAGTATATTCTAAAGAAAAGCACAAATTACGAGACTGCAGTTCTGGGCTGGATGTGGGAGAGGTTCAGGATAGCCACACCCTAAAATTTCTCAGGATCTATTTATTAGGGTAGAGAATTATAGATTTAGTTTGGCAAGATTCGTCCATTAGGTGTAAGGATTGGACTTGATTAGATTTCGCTGTGTCATGTTTGGACTTGGACCTGACAAATTTCTATATATTTGGGGGATTTTTCTGAAAGCATTTAATACAGGTAGTTCTTGGTTAATGATGGCTCTGCTTAGCAACTGTTCAAATTTGCAACAGTGCTGAAAAAGTAGCTTTGTTATAGTCTTCAAACTTATGACTGTCCCAGCATTTCTGCTACTGACACATAGAATTTAATTGTTTTGGAGGAATTATTTTTCCTCAGCAACCTCTCTTATATTGCTCATGGACACCTCTCAATGTATTTCAAGGTGTGCCACAGTGCCTTGAAGTAGCAGGTGGGAAAATTTCTACAGATTTCCATAAGTTACATTGAGATTCAAGGCTGTGAGTGTTTTGTATTGACATGCAAGACAGGTGCAATAATTCAACTATTAATTATATTATTTCTAAACTTAGTTGTTAGAATGTTATCTTAATTATTGTTTAGAGGCTCTTACAGTCTTATTTAAAATAACAAATTATAGCAATGCGTACAGAAATATAGGAAGTCCAACCACTGGAAAAAAACAATTTGGAAAATGTATACATACATACATACATATAAGAAAACCATTTTTTAAAGTAAGTTATGTAAATTGTAGCTCAAGTTTTCAATGAAGCTCTATCTTGCAGTGGATTGATTTTTCATGGACTAATTAGGGTTGGTAAAGGTAACATTTTAAAATCATGTTACAGATGGTGATTTCAATTTTATTTGGCATTTATAGAGTTAAGAGTTGTTACTATACTTATTTTTATAAGAAGATTTGTCACAAGGTAGCTGACAAATACAGCATGTTACAGTTCTGAGTGCAAATGTCAGTCATTAGGAAGAGAATTATTCTGAAAATAGAATGCTCCAACTGAGGGTTTTTTCCATTCAGTATTAATGTTCAGCCATTTATTTACTGAATTTATTCAAAAAGATGGTCTTTCTCTCTGCCCTCTCCCCTTCTAGTAAGGGGAAGGTTGACTTACAAGATGACTTATAAAATGAAAGAGAGAGGTGGGGAGAGAGAGGGACGGATGCAAATACTGCTGTTTGTGAATGCAAAGGGAAAAGTAATGATAGTAGGCTGGCTGAATAAAGCAACAGTCTTGAACAAAATTTGTGTGGGACTAAAAGCTTTGTGGACCATGCTAAGGAATAAACTGCATGCAGCTCAACTGAAAGCCATTTACCAACATATACCCTTTTTGTAACCTGAAGAGAAAAGTACCCCAAGGATTTCCCCACCCACATAGTTTCTGTAATATCTTGCAGTATGTATGCTGAGATAAATAGACATGGCGAGAGCCTATACACACTTTGCTGGTAGTAAGAGTCATTGAGCAATAGTAGAACTTTCTGCAGGGTGAACATTTTTGTATCTTACCCCCTCTACCCTTTAACCATATTTGTATAGAGATTAGTCTGTGAGTAAGCAAAATGTTCATACATACATACATACATACATACAAACATACAAACAAATAAATAAAATGAAGCTGGAAGAATCAGATAATTGTACACATTGGGTGCCCTATTTTACAGTGATTTAATTAATTAGGTAAAATTTGTATGTATACTATATATGCACGCACTTGAGCATATTTCCAGGACTGGTTTCAGTGGGTACTGGCAATGATAATTGAGAAAGTAAGACTTGCATATTTATAACCCTTTTCTTATGTCTAAGTACACTTCTTTTGGGGAAAAGTTATCTTAAATTCAGTGGCATGTTTTCATTAAATATAATGTTTGTGTGTTTAATCATTGCCAAAAATTTTAGTTGCGATGAATAGAAATATTAATATATAAGAAAAATTCTTCTGATTTTTTTATATTCTTTAGTTTTTCATTTAGTCATAGCAAATTTGTGAGAAGCTGACCATATCAATATCATTTGGGATTATATTAATATTTAAATTAATGTAGTAAAATGTTGTATTTATATTATGTATTATTGTTCTGTGCAGATTAATGTAAGGGTTACTACTATGGATGCAGAGCTAGAGTTTGCCATTCAACCGAACACAACAGGGAAACAGCTTTTTGATCAGGTATAAATGTTGAGTTTATGTATGTCTTCATCTTTTATTAACATTTTACATTTTGTATAAATGATAGCATAGTATATTTTTGCAAAAAATAATCTATTAACATATCTAGGATTGATAATCTGATTTGTGAAGAATTATAAAATATAGTGTTTACATTCTAAAAAAATAAAATAAAATAAAATAATCCATACAACTGTGATGAGATATAAGCTATATTTTTAAACTTCTCCTTCTCATAGAGGAAAAAGATAGCACTGGTACAAAGTTAAGTTGTTTAGATAGTCCTATTTAGTATTAGAATTCTATTGCAAAACATGATAACAAAGATAGAAACATTTAATCTGTAGTTTTATTTGTATTCATTTAAAAAAGGGCTATATCCACTATAATTGTGTAAATTCCCCATAAAAAAGGAAGCTGTCCAAAGAATAACTTCATTCTGATTCATATTCTGGAAAGTTTATCAGAATAGTTATGCCAGAAATAGAAGCAATATGCCTAGAATGTTAAAGGCTCAGAAATAATAGCAAGAGGAAGATTCTATTCTTGTGTTTTTGTGGGTTATTTGTAGATGTGTGATTTGTCACTTTGGGAAGCATGAACTGATTTTTGATTTGCTCCATAGAAATATGCTAGATGTATGTGGGATGTGTGTGAGAGAGAGATTAGCATCTATTTCAATTAAATCAGCTTACCAGTGACCACATGCACAAAATTAGCCTGCAGCACATTATATAAACCTCTGTTTTAGCTGCTAACAGGACACACTTAAATTCTGATAACCCAATAAAATAGTTGTCCTATTTCATAAAATTATGCCGTATGAGGATTTTCTATAGCAAATATGGTGTGTAATTAAACAAAGTGATGAATGATGTTATTTAATGAAAATGGCTTGCCATTTTTTTCAGTAACAACTACATTGCTCTGTGATTCCCTGGCCATCTTCATTTCAGTAGTCTCTTCTTTTTAATTGTAGTTTAAAATGTTTCAAAGTTCTCTCTTGATAGGCTGATACAAATTGCTGTTTTTCATGAGGAAATACAGTATTTATTTATTGAATTTGGATATCACTAAATGAAGGAAGGACTTCTAATAGTTAATAGCAGCAGTAAAACATCCATGGCAAGATCATTTTTAAATATTGCTATTTTCTTTTTTAGGTAGTAAAAACAGTTGGCCTACGAGAAGTCTGGTTTTTTGGATTGCAGTACGTGGACAGCAAAGGGTACTCAACTTGGTTGAAATTAAACAAAAAGGTAATGTTTTTACTTTAAAAATTTAAAATAATTTTTATGTGTTTGATGTAGCAAAAGTATCATTGGTAGAATAGATACATTCTGAAGATTGGGTTGTAAGTAAAGCCGATGTTGATATTAGATGGGTGCCTAATGAATGAAGAAAAGAGTAAACTGTAAAATATATTTCTAGAATATGTGTGAATCCATTTCTAAGATTCTTATTTTCTATTTCATGTCAATCTAGTTTTATAGAAAATTTGATTCATATCTAAATGGTACGGCATATTCAGTTCTTTGATACCATGTAATATGGAAGGTCACTGAAGGCAAATAATAAAATAGGTATATTCCTCCTGTTGGATTTTTTTTTTATTCTTTGCCCCACTCCCAAGTAATCATGGCAGGATTTGGATGCTTTTGGTTAATATGTACCTGATAAATACTCAGCATCTAAGGAGAGCTAAACTTTCAATAAGTATGGATAAGTAGAATTATTGGGCTCATCTCTGTGTTAGAACATAAAGAGAATTATTTTTATTTTCATATAAGGCAAGCATTCCAACTAACTAAACTTATTAGCTTTCATATTTCTTTGTGGGATGAGGCACTGAGAGAGAGGCAAGAGAAGATTATTATACTTGCATCTCATGGATCATAAATCATTCCTCCTAGTAGTAAAGGAAGCTGATAAGCGCTGATCAGATTGTGGCACAATGAGTCTACTGACAAACAAGAGGATTGTATTGATGTGCTCCAGGAAACTAAAAATAACAGAACTATAAAAAAGCATGTAAGGGGAAAAAAAGTAAGGATGTACTACTAAATTGAGAACATGATTGTCTGGATTAGAAAAACTAAAACATAATTAAATGTTTAAATTAGCAGTTTGCTGCAGCTGCCAAACAAGCCAACACAGTTCTAGGCTGCATTCTTGCAGGATAGAATCAAGATCACGTAAAGTGTTAATGCCACTTTACAATGCCTTGGTAAGGCCACACTTGGAATACTGCATCCAGATACCACAATGTAAAAAAGATGTTGAGACTCTAGAAAGAGTGCAGAGAAGAGCAACAAAGATGATCAGGGGACTGGAGGGTAAAACATATAAGGAACGGTTGCAGGACTTGGATGTGACTAGTTTAATGAAGAGAAGGACGAGGGAGGATATGATAGCAATGTTCCAATATCTCGGGTTGCCACAAAGAAGAGGGAGTCAAGCTATTCTTTAAAGCACCTGAAGGCAGGACATGAAGCAACGGATGGAAACTAATCAAGCAGAGAAGCAACCTAGAACTAAGGAGAAATTTCCTGACAGAACAATTAATCAGTGGAACAACTTGCCTGCAGAAGTTGTGAATGCTCCAACACTGGAGCATTTTTAAGAAGAGATTGGATAACCATTTGTCTGAATAAGGTATAGGATATAGGGTTTCATGTCTGAGCAGGGGGTTGAACTAGAAGACCTCCAAGGTCTCTTCCAACTCTGTTATTCTGTTCTGTTCTATTCTAATCAGGGATGGAACATTGTCTAGAACACTGAACAAGAAAATAATATGCCGTAACATTTTTCTGCCAGCATTACTTACTCTTCCTAGTGTAGTTTTTATTGGGCAATGTTAACTACAGGTAGTCCTCAACTTATGACCATAATTGAGCCCAAAATTTCTGTTGCTTAGTGAGATAGTTAGGTGAGTTCTGCCCCATTTTATGACCTTTCTTGCTTCAGTTGTTAAGTGAATCACTTCAGTTATTAAGTTAGTAATATGATTGTTAAGTGAATCTGGTTTCCTCATTGACTTTGTTTGTCAGAAGGTCACAAAAAATGATCACATGATCCTGGGACACTGCAACCATCATAAATATAAGCCAGTTGCCAAGCATCCTAATTTTGATCACATGATCATGGGGATGCTGTAGCAGTCGTAAGTGTGAAAAATGGTCATAAGTCACTTTCTTCAGTGTTGTCACTAAACAAATGATTGTAAGTTGAGAACTACCTGTATAAATATTTCTTGTTCCTCAATATTTTACTTTAGCGGCTTTTTAATCTTTTTGTTGCAGTTCTTGCTAAACTTCTCAGTGCTATATAACATATCAATTAAGTTCATTTTCATGAAATTTGATGTGCGTAATACTTATTAAGGGTGGTGCAATGAGTTAGTGGTTGTCAAGGTGGAAAACTGACAGCCTGGGCTTGAAACCCAAGTGTCACGTGACAGAGTGAGCTCCTGACCTAGCAGAGTGAAAACATGCTAGTGCAAGTAGATAAATAGGTACCACTTTGGTTGGAAGGAAACAGTGTTCCGTATTTTCATGCTGGCCACATGATGACAGAAGCCTCTCTCAGACAATGCAGGCTCCTTCTGCTAAGAATTGGAGATGAGCACTATCCCCTTGAGTCGATCAGAACTGGACAGGGGAAACATTTAAACATTTAATGCTTATTAATCATTAAGAGATACATTCAAAATATAGTTTCCATTGGTTGACCTGGAAAAATATAGCTATATCTCCAGTGGTTAATGCAAGATTGATTTAGTGAAATCAAATGTATTGCCAATGTGCACTATATATAAATAGGCTTTCAGAGTTGAGTTTTTTAAATAAATGTTGGAGAACTCCATCCCTTATTGTGGTCTTGAAATATGTTTTTGAAATATACATTCTGAAAGTTCTCACACTTCCCTAATTATTTAATTATCTGTGAAAATCACGCCCTTCAATGCTGTATTTTTTATATTACATTGCAAAATATGATAAGTAGTTATAATTACTTTTTCCAATATGTTAATGTTCTCTTCATCCTTTGAAATTTTATATTACAACATATATTTATATTTTATAATTTATATATTTCATTTTAGGTAACACAGCAAGATGTAAGGAAAGAAAATCCATTTCAGTTCAAATTCAGGGCAAAGTTTTTTCCTGAGGATGTTTCTGAAGAATTGATTCAAGAAATAACTCAGAGACTCTTTTTTCTGCAAATCAAAGAAGCCATCTTGAATGATGAAATCTATTGTCCACCTGAAACTGCAGTTCTACTGGCGTCTTATGCTGTTCAAGCAAAATATGCTGATTACAATAAGGAAATACATAAGCTAGGATATTTGGCCAATGACAGACTTTTACCCCAGCGGTAAGAAATTTCTGGGTATATCAAAATGTAATTGGATTTAGAGTTTGATAATGTTGCCTAAGTAATATAACTATGAACAGTGTAGTACATAATATGATATGAATTTGTGATTAAGCCAGTGTTATTAAATATGTATCTTTTCAAAATTAAAGTAAAATGGCTGCATGTATAATATATTGCTTAGAAATAATTAGAAGCTGAATATGGAAAATCAAGGACATCAGCCTGGCAACCAAATGTAGGTTAGTTTGCTCTATTGTATTCCTCATAGCTACCTATGGTTGTGAAAGTTCGACTTTAAAAAAAGCAAATCAGGAAGAAAATTAACTCATTTGAGCTGTGGTGTTAGAGAAGGCGCCTGAGTATTCCTTGGATAGCAAAGATGACTAACAAGAATGTATAATACCAGCCATGTTACTAGAAGGCAAAATCACGAAACTGCGTCTCCCTTATTTTGGCCATGTCATGCGGGGGAATTAACTGAAGAAAGCAATTATGTTAGGAAAAGTTAGCGGTAAAAGGAAACCAGGCCACCAAAGAAAACAGTGGCTAGACATCATCAAAGCTGACATCAGCCAGAGCATAGAACAACTCAAAGGAATAATACAAGATCAGAGAGAGAGAGACCTGATCCATAGAATTGACAAGAGTTGGACATGACTAAATGGATAACATCAGATAATTATTAAATGTGCATTCATCTCTTTACGGTTTGTGTGAATATACAATATTTAACAGAAAAGAAGAAAAGTAAAATTCTGATTTTAATTAACATTTTATTTATAGAACAGTTTAAATGCTGTGGTACAAATAATATTAAGCCAAAATGAGCTAGGAGCAAATTTCTAAAACTGTGTTTCCATAACTAAATATTATTTGGGCTTTTTAGAATTAAAAATGATACATGACATAAGATAAAGTCAATTTCGTTGGTGGAGGATGCTTCTCTTTATTACAGCTGTGCCATTAATAGCGTTTCTAAAGTTGAATAAGATATCATTGATGATTAGACATCAGTTTTTGGGTAATTGTGCTGCTGTTTCTCCCTATCCAAATAATTGCTTGATTCTTCTATTTGTTTAAAATAAAGAATTTTCATTTGGATTGCTGTGAATTTAGTGGAGCAGGGAAATATAGGACTTTGTAATATAGGAGGTTGGGATTTCTGGAAGTTTAACATACTGCAAACAACTTGATATTCTCCTGGTATATTGGACTGTATCTTCTACATCAGTGGTGGCGATCCTATGGCACACATGCCAGAGGCGGCACTCAGAGCCCTCTCTGTGGGCACATGTGCCATTGTCCCAGCAGAGTTCGCCAGAGTAGCAAGAACGTGACATTTGGAAGTGACAGGGCAGGAAGTGAGTGAGCAAGCGATGTTGGCCCCCCGGGGATGCCCTGGAGATGGCGAGGGACTGGCCCCCGCCACTCTGGCCCTGGCCATGCTCACCCAGTCTGCCGTGATCACTGCAGCCACGCCCACCCGGTGGGCCACGCCCCCACGCCACCCCTGAGGGCACCACAATGCTAATGCAGCCCTGGCACTTTGCAATAAATAAGTGGGTTTTGGGTTGCAGTTTGGGCACTCGGTCTCTAAAAGGTTCGCCATCATTGTTTATATCTTTTGCTATTGGATATAGCAGAGAAGTCCAAACAATTAGAATAGTAGGGAGACTGTTTGCTGTCTTCCCTATCCTTTTGCAAACAGGCAAGTTTCTTTGTGAGAGGAGCAGCCTTATAAATACTTGAAATAAAAATAATTTTTATTTTGATAGTGTTTTGGAACAACATAAACTGACAAAAGAGCAGTGGGAAGAAAGAATACAAAATTGGCATGAAGAACACAGAGGAATGTTAAGGTAATTTCCATATTACCTTTTTATAACTTTTGGAAATTAATTTCCTTTGGTTTAATAGTAATTTTTCTTCTACAAAATCTCTTACTTTTGAGTATGTAAGTGAAGTAGGTTATCCAGACAGCTATTTTAATTTACTTCAGTTCACAATATTTAATTTTTAATAAGTGTTCCTGTTTATATTAAGTCAGCATGTTCTTACGTTTTCAATCTAGCAATAATTAACCTTGACCATATCATCTTTGGGACTGGTCCTCACTGAAATAAATAGAACTTATTTCCTACTAGAGTTAGATGGAATTTGGTAAATACAATAGTTAAGTTTTTTTCATTTATTAAGAATAAAACATCATAGTTAAAACTAATGTTTGCGGGCTAAGCCTATGATTATTATGCATTTTATATGGTTTTAAATTATGTTATTTTTATTGTCAGGGAAGACTCTATGATGGAATACCTCAAAATTGCACAAGATTTGGAAATGTATGGAGTCAACTATTTTGAAATTAAAAACAAAAAAGGAACTGAATTATGGCTTGGTGTTGACGCTTTGGGTTTGAATATTTATGAACATGATGACAAGTAAGTAGCATAATACTATTCTGTTGATCCTGTAGTACAGCTTCAAGTATTACATTTTCAATAACTTTCTAATATATTTTTAAAATATGCCCCTTGAGAATACTGTAGTAGACGGTGCTTCTAACAGAAGTAGATTTCTTTCTGTTACAGAAGGCAGGATGGAGCAGAGAAATCTAATGAAAAATCCTTTTGTTTTAACAGATGCAGATGATTTTTGTCTTTCATGCCTAGCTTTATGTCTCTTTCTGTGTTTTTTCCCCATAACTAAGATTCTTTCCTTCTTTCCTAAAGGTTGACTCCGAAGATAGGTTTTCCTTGGAGTGAGATAAGAAATATATCATTTAATGACAAAAAGTTTGTGATAAAGCCCATTGACAAAAAGGCCCCTGTAAGTAAATATGCTTGAGATATAATCAGCACATCTGTTGTTTTTTTCCTTCTGTTTCTTAGCTCTCCAAATAATGTTTTTTGTGACTTGCAAAATTTATTTTGCTGTATTTATGATTGTTTTTCAGTTATGTTTTGGCTTATTTATGCTGCCAATGTTCTTTTTTAGTTATATTGGAATTCTATGTTGTTACCTTTTATTTCCGTCTGAATTAGAGTTTGTAATCGCAAAGTAATGCGTTAGAACGGTAAATACTCAAAGCTATTGTGGGCTAGTAGAATAATGATAATAATTTATGAGAAAGACAAAAGAAATTTGGATAGTGGATGTTTAAATATTGGAGACAGTAGAATAGAAGAAAAAGAATTCAAGAAAAATCACAAAATATAAAGACATGTAAACAGAAGTAGAACAACAATAAAGAAAGCAAAGATTGTATCAATATTAACAGGTCTCATGGGTATAATTCCAAAACATCTGGAGCACCCTTGAACACCATCAGCATTGATAGAATCACCATCAGTTAATTGCAAAGGGCAGTACTTGGAATAGTTTACATCCTGCAACAATACTTTTAATATTATTAAACAACATCTGCCTAAACAACAACATCTGACTTAGCTTGTTCCACACTCACAAGAGACATAAAATCAGAGCTTTTCCATTATGACCCATATGTTGTGAAATAGCCTACAAAGAGATTTAACAAATCTTGGCAAGTTTTAGGAAGGCCTTGAAGATAAGACTCTTGCATAGAATATTCAAAGCCTTTTTTTTAATTAATATTTGGCTGGCATAGTAACTTTCCCCCCCTGCTTTACTTTTTTTTGTGCACGTTAATTTTCTTTTAAATCAGAGTTAATCAGTTGAGGCCTCAAATATTAATACTAATATTAAGGGTGCAAACCTCAGGCCATAATAAACATAAGCTTGATTTAGCCCCAGTATATAAATTAGCTCAGTCAGTTAATACAGTGTTGGGAGTATAAAAATAACTTCAGAATATATATGAAACATCTGGTGCTCTTGGACAGCTTTCCTAATCTGATTACCTCCGAATGTGATTGCCGTCAAATCTAATAATTACTAGTTAAGATATTTCTATTATTTGCATGTGTGTAATCAAAATTATGGCTTACTCTGGTTTTAATTTGGTTTTCTGCCTAAAAAGAAGCAGGAAAAAACATACTTGTATATCAGCAGCTTGCTGTTGATTTATGAAATCAACATTTGTGGGAAAAGTTCTGGATGACTGATAATGTTCAAACACTCAATTGTGTATGGGTTGTGTATGGGCGCATGGAATTTGTCGTTTCTTGCCTATGTTAACTAAAAGTCTCACTACCTTATTTTTTTAACATTCTTCTGTTGTGACTTTTTGTAACATTTTTTTCTAAAATGTAATTAACTAGACCCCCCAATTAATGATTTAAAATTTAACTATGGTATAAATCACTTCATATTTTATTCTCAATAATAAACTTTTTCATTGCTCAGCTTATTGTTTGACAGTTTTAACCAATAACCAATATCTATGTGTGTTATTATATTTTCTTTTTCTTTAAGTGCAAGTTGAATTTTCTCCACCATTTTGTTACATAATCATTCCAGTTCTTTTTGAAACACTTTTCACTCATAATTTACTAAATTGATGTAAATGTGTTTGTTTCTGAGTAACAGCACGCTAATTCTAGATCACTGAGATTTCTAGAATAGCTTTGACTAGTCCTGCTAGAGAGTAATTAGTGAAATAAAACTATTTTTATTAATAAACAGTGATGTTTCTCAACATACATGACATTTTGTTTACTTAAATATTTTTCATTAGGATTTTGTGTTTTATGCACCCCGTCTGAGAATTAATAAGCGGATATTAGCACTATGCATGGGAAACCATGAGCTATACATGAGAAGGAGAAAACCAGATACAATTGAAGTGCAACAGATGAAGGCCCAAGCTAGAGAAGAAAAACATCAAAAACAATTGGAGAGGTGGGATATTTACAATTAGTCATGAAGGTTGAGATTCTTGTAGCAAATTAGTTTGAAAATTAATCTTCAGAAGAATTCCTTGAAGAAAAGTATGACCACATGGGGAAACAGAATTATCTGAAAACAATGGGGGACAATAGAGCATATTAATTTAGTGTCTTGGATCTCTTATGCATAGTTTGTAACATTTTAAGCAATGTTATCTGACTGGGTACAGTGCTGAGTGATACTTAGTCCTCCAGGCAGCAGTGTTTATAGTGCTACAGTTTACACTGTGTTAATGGCCCTAAAAACATGGTTCTCCAGCATTGTGGCCCAATTCCAAGAAAGTACAGTGAGAACAGTTTGCTTATTTTAATTAGACTCTACTGGAAGCCTGATACTTTTGGGAAAAACAAAGTACTTGTACTGACCTGTTTACTGTATGTTCTCTTAGGTAACATCAGATTGTTATGTTCTGATATTAATGGGAGTTCCAGTAAGTGTCACTTTCATATTAGCATTAGCTACTACCATAAGTTGCCAGATTGAGCAATTACAATGAAAAACTTCTGTTTTCCCATGGAAGATCAATTATTGTTTTATTACACAGCAACGGTACTATACAGTACAGTAATATTCTAGTCCATGTTCATAATTTGAAGTTTCTTGTGCAGCATGCTAGAATCATGTGTTAGTTGCATAGTAAATTCTTATTCAGTGTAATGAAGTAAAATATCTGCTTACTGTATTATGGTGATTATCAGCTAAATGTTTGGCTGTTACTCTTTGGTTGCATTTGGTAGCTGGCTGAAATGTTTGGGGGTTGGACCTTGTTTTTTTTTTTTTTTTTTTTTTTTTGAAAACAGCATAGGCCTGCCTGGTATCATCCAGGTATTATGGGACCACAGGTCTGTGAATTCTTAGCCAGTATGGTCGAAGGCCATGGTTACTAATTATTGTATTGTATATCAGTCAAATATTGTACATCTTAAATGCAACAACATGAGCACTTGTAAAACCTGCTTTTTTTCAGTAAGGTATTTTTTACCAGTAGATCACTTAGCATATTGTTGGGATAATTTTTTTGTGTTTGGGTAAATGGATTTATTCATGGGGGGATGAATACTGTTTGTTCAATGCTTTATTTTTACCTGTCTCATTTTATATAGGGCCCAACTAGAGAATGAAAAAAAGAAAAGGGAAATAGCCGAAAAAGAAAAGGAAAAAATAGAGCGTGAAAAAGAAGAATTGATAGAACGACTAAGACAGATTGAAGAGCAGACAATGAAGGCCCAAAAAGGTGAAGTTCTTTTATGTATTAATGACAGGACATCATGTTATGATTTGAAAAGCTGTTGTAAGTCTTCTAAAAACATTATTATTCAAGTGAAAAAAATTAGCCAATATTATAAAAATATTTATTCTACTTTCTTACAATGTGCCATTTTTACCTATTTTAATGGCTTGCCTGAAGACACCAGAAAGCAACAATTCCCCTAACTACTGCTTGGGAATGGATAGTGTGCAGCAAGAAATAAACAGCATAATTAGTAGTGCCTGGCAACTCAGCATACCCACGCACAGAAGGCAAATGCAAACCATACTTTGTAACTTATTGGCAAATTGTGGGTTTGTTCCAACCAGTTGGGAAATCAGTCCAAAGTACATATTTTGCATAAATCAAACTGGAATGCTTAAATATCTAATAATAATATATAAATATCTAATATATAATATAATATAATATATAAATATCTAATAATTTTCCCCAGATGGGAAATTCCCTGTTCTTAAAATCTTGCCAAGGAATTTTGAATTTTCTTTTTCATTTGCAAGTGTGACCTGAGGACTTTAAAATTAGATGAAGTTGTCCAAGTATTTAAAATTCATTGAAGGCATATCAAATCAGATAGCTTGTTCATTCATTTAGACCAGGATTGTCCACTTTTGCTTGGCATTCCAGAATCTTGGGCAAATCAGCTTCCCATTACTTAATACAATATATATTGTTGTTAACTGAAGATGCAAGATGCTGTGCCTGAATTCTGCCTGTATGAACATCATAAGCATTACAATAGAGCAGTGGTTCTCAGCTGGTGATCCACAGATGCCTGAGGGACTGTGATATCAGTGGGTCCACAAAGGCTTGAAGAAATGTTATGATTTAAATCTTGAGTTAAGTCATGCTGCTCCCTGGCCACAAAAGGTATTTAAAGGAGGGGGGTCCGTAGTGAAAAATAGATTGGTAAAGTGTTTTTCACTTCCTGTAATACCAGTAGAATATTCAGATACTTAGTGGATTTTGGTGCAAATGGTTTCCAATCTAGGTAGTGAGATAGCCTTTCTTCAAGTTCTGAAATTCTATTTAAAAACAAGCTTATTCATTTCAGAAAAAGCAAGTACATTGGGTAAAGTTGAGAAAATATTGGAATTGGTTCTTTGAATGTAAAACTGACTGGACTTATAGTGGAAACAAATTCTACCTGATGAGTTATGCCATCTTAGACAACTTAATTTTCTTGGTTAAAACTGGAGGCAAGGCCAGCAGTAATTTTTGTAGGCATTGTTTAATTCTGTATTGCTAATCTGGACTGCTAAAACTTGATTTTTATTTCTTTGATTTAATGAATATACAGAACTGGAAGAGCAAACAAGAAGAGCTCTAGAGCTAGATCAGGAACGAAAAAAAGCAAAAGAGGAAGCAGAGCGCTTGGAAAAAGAACGAAGAGCTGCTGAAGAGGCAAAAGCTGCTCTAGCAAAGCAGGCAGCAGATCAGATGAAGAATCAAGAACAACTAGTAAGACTTCATTCAAAGCTGTGGTAGATTGGGTTAGAATGTGTTGTCATAAAAATGGGAGAGGGAAGAGCACCTTGGGGAATCTAGGGTGGACAACGCATTGGTGACAGGCATAGGGAGCCACAGGAGCCAAAAACTGTTACAGGGAAAGATGCCCCAATGTGCAGTATTGTTGGTGTATTCCAGCCCTTTGAGTTCACTCCCAGTCCTTGGACAGCATACCCTCAGAGGCCCTGGGGTTCAGCTGCTGCTGGTGAATGGCAAGTTGGTCAGTAATAAGGCTCCCTTTATTCCAGACCTCATTTAGGAGAAGGGATAAATTCCATAATTTAGCTAATTAGTTGACTGACTAATCGTATGAGGAGAATAAATTGCTGTTTTATGTTATACCAGTATATCAGTGGAATGCTTTTTCCCAGGCGGCTTTCTGACTCCTCTTTTTTTTTAAAGTCAAACATTCTAACAGCTTTGTATTGTCATATTTTAATTTTTATGATACCTCTATTTGAAATATCTGTATACTGATTCCCATTTAAATTGACTAATTTTAATAAAATATGGCAATTTTTAAATTGGGATTGTTTTGCTTTGTTTGAAGCATAATTGGGATTATGTCTCCAATGAGAAAAGGTCTCATTCTTTCTAGAAAATGTATATAAAGATTGCATGGCGAACAGTGATTCAGTGCAAGACAAATTCTTTTTTAATTATCTTGGACCTTTTACTTCACTTTTTATGCTATATACATTTGTGTTTTAGAAAATACAATCATATGAATTACCGTAAATGCCAGCGTATAAGTCGACTTCTGCGAGCGCTGAAATCGGCGCCAAAGATGGGGGTCGTCTTATAAGCCGAGTCGTCTTATACGCCGGAAATACTGGTAGTTTCCGGCGTATAAGATGACGTTCTAGGAATGCGGCCCGGCTATAAAGACGAAGGTCGTCTTATACGCCGGGTCGCCTTGTACGCCAGCATATACGGTATTTCTTTTAGTATGTGTTCATATAGTGGCCCTCGGTATTTTAAACTATTTTTAAGGATATTCTTAGTCTTTACAGGATTTGTGATGGATTTTATTATGTTACTTTGAATATAGTCTTGTCACTTAGAATAAAGTTGAATAAATAAGTTGAAGTTCACAAGTTGAATAATAAAATTATGCCAAAATTATGAATATTTTTGTATTTTAGATGATTTTATGAAGTTGTTCAGAAAATAAACTCTTCTTGTTTTATAGGCAGCAGAACTTGCTGAATTTACTGCAAAGATTGCACTTTTGGAAGAAGCCAAGAAAAAAAAGGAAGAAGAAGCTTCAGAATGGCAACATAAAGTAATTCTTTTGTAAACTGTTGCTAGAATTTTTCATAATAAAAGATTATAAACTCTATGTTGGAATCCCCAAATTTTTAACATTATTCGTCAAATTTGGTCTGCTGAAAAATATATTTTTAAGTCTTTTGGAGCCTTATTTTCTATTAATACTATTCTATCCTCACCAGAAGAAAAACAGCCACGTTTATATTTGCCCATTTTCTTTTACTTGGGTAAAACAAATATGATTTGATACAATATGTAGGTCTGTCTATCATCCATCCCCAAATTTTAATTAGGCTTCTGTGAAGTCCCATTTTAAGTCAGTTTCTTGATTTTCAGCTGTAGGCCACAAAAGCTATTTAGAATCTTCAAAAAATGTTTTTGCAATGTTTGTAAATATATAAAATATTATATATATACTTAAATTGGCACAATCCAATTCTCTCCAACCTAATTAAAAACTTTTTCATTGCCTCTGGGTTATGAGTATTAAAGTTATTTTTATTGCAACTTTTTAGGCTTTTGCAGCTCAAGAAGATCTGGAAAAGACCAAAGAAGAACTGAAAACTGTAATGTCAGCTCCGCCCCCACCTCCACCCCCACCAGTAATTCCTCCCACAGATAATGAACATGATGAACAAGATGAGAATAATGCTGAAGCAAGTGCTGAACTGGCTTCTGAAGGTATTATGAACCATAGAAGTGAGGAAGAACGTATCACAGAAACACAGAAGAATGAACGAGTAAAGAAACAACTTCAGGTAAACAAGTCTGTTGGAAACCTGTCATATAAGCTAAAAACCAAGGACTTTTTAAGGGTTGAGTTTAACTTAGTATCAGGAATCTTTTCTTTACATTGTTACCTTCTGGATATCTCCCCCTTAGAATATAAAACCTAATGGGGCATGAAATGTTCTTGATCAACATGGGACACAAGGATGTGTTGACTTCAGCTCCCATATTCAGCAGCCAAGCAGCAACATCTAGAATGATACCAGGCTGTTGAAGTCCCCCGATTCTTCTACTCCCCACAAACACTGAAAATTAGATTATAGTTTTATTGATGCTGTTGAAATAGCTTATTGGGCTAAACTTCCTTTCAATGATAGATGTAGTAGAGGTAAAGGAAGTGTTTGATTTTTAAAAACATTAAAACCAGTACAGTGGGATTCCTGACAATATTGTGCTAGGAATAAGCATTCTGAACTACAAAAATTTACATGATATACTGAGAAGTGGATCATTTAAATGGGCAAATAAATTATTTTAATGCAATTCAACAGGTAAAGTAAGAATAAATAAAATACCCCTGCTTTCTAGCATGTATGTATTTTAATGGCTTAAACAGTGGATTTGGCAAATTCCTGTCATGTACACAACTAATCTCATTTATATCCCTCTTTTTAACACATCATTTCTCCTTCCCCTAGCTATATGAAGGAGTAATTGTATACTATATATAATAAGTTTTGGATAATTATTTGAAAATAGTAACAGTTTAAAACAACTCTGGAACAGATAAGGATATTATTAAAGCAAACATTGAAGCACAATGCCAACTATTTTCAAACAGTCTTACCAGACTAAATAAGGCATACATTTTTAAATTACTGGTAACAAAATACGTTGTCGTTTGTCTCTGAGACTACGTGTTTACTTGTAGCTTTCCATTTAATGACACGCCCTTGCTTTTTCTACAAACTTTGTTTAATTAGAAGACTAAAATAAGTCAATCTTGTATAACAGACTGTATAAATTTGATGGGTAGAAATGTTATGGCAATATCTAACCCCTCAATACTTGCATTGAATAGGCTCTCAGTTCTGAATTGGCCCAAGCCAGAGATGAAACTAAGAAAACCCAGAATGATGTACTTCATGCTGAAAATGTTAAAGCAGGCCGTGATAAATACAAGACTCTTCGACAGATACGGCAAGGCAATACAAAGCAGCGGATTGATGAGTTTGAAGCAATGTGAGAGCCATTTCTTTGCATGTCTGTTCTCCACTAAAGTTGAACCACCAGCAGAGAAATATAGGCCTTTCCACAGATGAAAGGATCACACCTCACCTTGCCAAAGCACTTATACCAGTTTGTGATTAAAACATATTTCCCCCCAAAAAAAATATTGTTCAACAATAAGGCAGTCGATCAGCTATGACTCTCTGGAGGTGAATGAGAAGGTTTCCATGATTTTATATTTTCATGCTTTCTCCTTTGAAGTAACAGCAATCATATGGTAGCAAAGCTGTTAATTCAAATATTAATTGACTTCAGTTTTGGCATTTGTGCACTTTTGCTTGTTTGTTTTCATTTAGCAAATTGGTGAGGATTTTGATATTGCTAATTTTTAAGGGCTTCCCTTTGTAGGTTAGAATTCTTTGGTGTTTCATGTCCTATCATCATTGATGGTTTTATTTGCCCTCCTGTTCACAAAGGTCTAGATGGTAGGTGGCTGTTCCAGCACTTTTTTCATTCATATATATATGTTACATACATACATACATACATACATACATACATACATACATACATATATGGGGGGGGAGAAACCTGGACCTTTCTGATAAGGGAGCATATGAAAACATCAGTCCCAAGAAGGGGACAGAAGCCTACCTCACTGTAATAAACATGATGATTGGTCCGTGAAACACCACATTGATATGCTAACAGTGTGAAACTATGTCCTGCATAGCTAAACACTACAAGAATCTAGGAGCCTTTATTCTTTAATATTTTGTTAATAGATTTATAGTATTCAAGGAGTGTTCAGCTGCCTTTTTGACAAGCTAAATTTTGAATCATGTATTTTTTTAATTTTAACCTGTCACTGGTATATTATCCAATAAGAGGTGTGAAATGTTTGGTTATGTTTTCTGAATACCTTTGTACTAAATTAACATTGTTGCAAAAACATTTAATGAAGTCAGTGCATAAAACAATGCTCTCTTGCATTCAGTTGTAGGGCCCACTTGCACATTCTTCCTGTTCCTTCCATGTTAATTCTGAGAATATCTATGCTTTGTGTTTTCAGAGAATGTAGTCATAGGAACTGTGGCAGAATGTGGGCAAAAGAGGTATGAGCAGATCTTTAGGCTGAAGTTCAACATGCACTCAAAGATTATTGAATGTGTGTGTTGGAATCAATATGAATCACTCTTACCTATGGAATGGCTAATTAAAATTGGCATCTTGGGTTTGAATATCATATTTGTGGAAATAACACTGAAATTACTTACCATGTCCAGTGAACTTTAAGAGTTGGGAGAAATAAGTCCTGCTTTCTCTGAGGATGGTTCAGCTCTGTTATGTTTGGTATTATGCACTCAACTTTATACTTACCTATGAAAATTGCCATTTTATTAATCATTCATGCACAAGTTCCTTACAAATCCCACTGAAAGTTAGGGGTTTCCTCCCCCCGAATCAAAGGTAGATACTGTGAAAGTTACATATACACCCATTATTTTATGGAATAATGATAGCTGAGCAATTTTGCATAGACTGGTGTGCAAATATTGTGCATGTGCTCAAACATCTGGTTGCCCTGGATGCTTCTGCTTCCACCTGCAGGATTGGGCAAATGCCTTGCATCTTTTCATGCAGTGAATTCTGAGATACGGATTTCTAAATTGTTCAAAACCTTTGCCATAACGGGTGGAATGTTGTGTATGGTTCTTCCCTGAAATAGGCACACATGCATGGCTATGTTAATCTATTACTATGGAAGAAAGGGAAAGAGAAGTACCAGTAAAATTTGCTGTTCATAATCTACATTGTATAGTTTAATATTTAAATGGATCTAATCCATTTATAAAACTGTGAATATTTTTCTAGGAATTGACATCTGTAATAAGGTTTTTCACCACGACTAAATTGATGGTAAGGGTTGTCATCTGCTATTGGGCGAACACACCAGTTCATGTTGAGGCATTCAGGAAATACTTGGTGAAGTATTCGTATGCTTCCCCTCCTCCTCTCTTTAGCATCACGTTTTGTGTTGTAAAATTAAGCTATAGTTACTATCATCTATTATTTTGAATAACATTCATTGGCTAACAATAAAGAGAATACAGCTAATTTTGTGAGGTTCATTGTGGTTATTTAATTTATCATTCCTGACAAGAATTGTATTGTTCTTAGTTCTAAGAAAAAAATGGAAGAAAACATGTGATTCATTCATTTCAATAATGCAATAAAATATAAGAGATTAAGGAGGGGAATGGACATTGCATTGGATTGCAATGAAAAGTAATCATTTTGGAATGGACAAAAAGCTATTATAAATGTTTAAAAATTGCTTTCTTTCTGAGTTTCATGACTTAACCTAAAATGGTGTATGTAGATAAGTTTGAATTTGGGGCATGTTGGTATCTGATCCAGATTTGCCATATGAGGTTGCATAAATAGGGGAAAGTCTCGATGTCTGAACCAATTTAAAAGGAAATTCATTTCAATCTCAATATGTATACCTAAAAAGTAATTCCATATTTAATTTTAAAGCTGTCTAGTTTTGTGAAACTCACAATACTATAAAAGGTTTTTTTTCTGCTGCAATAAAAAAATAGATATTCCATGCAGATGGATTGACCTTATATTCCAGTTTTGTAAGTTGGCAGGTGTTGATGTAGGACAAATCATACTATGAAGATTTTGGATGATCTTAAGCAGATAGGCTGGAATTAAATCAAGATGGCTATGAGGCTAAAATAGCTTCTGAGCTTTTCAAAGGAATTGATATTTTTGTTAGGATTTCGCACATACATAAATTGTGCCTACACAATACACAGTAAGCTTGTTTCAGGTAGGCAAAGTCATAATATATTTATGACTTTGGGATCAATGTTTTGTAACTAACCTAGATTTAGAGATAATCAGTGAGGTGACCATGTTTGCTAAGAGTTCAGAATTAATTGAAAAATAAATTAGAAACTTTCAAACTGAGAAATGAGACCATTGACATGCAGATGTAGTCCAGTATAAGTAAATGTAAAGCACATACCAGAAAGTGTTTGTGTGGAACTAAGTGCACTGATGATGGAGTTTATGCTTATGATGTGGCAATGATAGAAAGCTCTCAAAAGTGATTACATTCATCCATCATATTTATATTGTCTTAAACATGACTTACTGAACAGCTATAATTAGCAAGCTGTGCATATTAACCCATAGTTTATAAATTGCTGATTTGATCTACTATTTGTTAAATGTTTACATCCTTGACTCCCAACAACTGGTCAATTTCTAAATAAACACCAGAGAATAGAGTAATAAAGATGTGTTTAAGTAAAATATGGCTCATCACTTTGTATGAACCAGATCATAATGTTATTATGTACTGTGAAAATTGCAATTATATTGGGGGGGAGTTATTAAAGGAACTCAAAAAACCCCAGGACCCAGTATCAAAGTACCTTTGCAGATATTTGTGATGCAATTGAATTTAGAGTAGGATATGCAGTTCTTTTATCTTCAGCACTGAAAGCACTAATTGCTGGAGAACAGGAGGTGCTGTTGTGCTTATAAAGGCTTCTGATTTCAATCATTAGGAACAATTCTAGAACAGATGTCTTTTGGCTTGACGCAACTCACCTTCTCTTAAGTTCTTACATTTTAGCACAAAAGAATATAAACATGATGGCCTGGATCGTCAAATTTCATATTTCAAGTATAAACTTTGTGCCTGTTGTTTCACATTTCTACTAAGGGACAGCAGCTTCTAATGCCAAACTGCCATATACAATACATCTTTACAAGTGAAAGATATGTACACTGCTTCACAGGATCAGAAATCCAAATATGTTGTGGACTGATAATGGAATAGAGATTTACATCTCATCATCTCTGAATAAAGTATGGAATTTCCAAGAAATGGGAAGTCCAAGAAATTTGAAGCAGAAGAGTAGAAGTTTTACTATTTGAATAAAAGCAAGAAAAAAGTCGTACGTCAAAAGAAAAAAAAGTCAAGCCAGAAAATTTTGTTATATTCTTATTTCTCTTTATTGCACAAGTGCCATATTGTTTTTTTTCTGTACAAATTAGGAATTTGTGTAACTTCAGTCTTTTAACTATCCATCTGGCTGAGTTTGAATATGCCAAGTTTTCTCTAGAGTTTTGTATTATTTAGGGCAAAATATTGAGCCATTTGTAACAAATCAGCATCATTTTATAGTCTACTTGGCATGCTGCATTTTATTTTGTAAATTTCTTTTAAATAACCACTTTACTATGATCTGGACAGCTCAGAATTGTATTCTATTCATCTTTGAGTGAAAAAAATATATAGACATTTTAATGTCTAAAACATAAAACCTATTATTAAATTTGTATTTTTTGCTTTTTAAATGAAGTTTGGGTTTATTTATTTGTGGTAAGTGATCTAAACCCTAAGGGGAGGGGGGGAAGGAAGAGTTGAATCATCAAATCACGTACCTCTGTACTACATGGCCAGGAGCTTTATTACAGAAATTAGTTTATTGTATTTTTATCTTATAATCAACAGAAAGAGAGCACTCTCTCTCTCACACACACTAGAGCAGGGATCTTCAAACTTTTATGACTTGTGGACTTCAAATCCCAGAATTCCTCAGCCAAGCACGCTGGCTGAGGAATTCTAAGAGTTGAAGTCCACAAGTCATAAAAGGGCCAAGTTTGAAGACCCCTGCACTAGAGAAATGGGATGGACCCCTAGTTAAGAACAGCTGAAAGACAGGTGGGTGCAGTGGGTACTACCAAGTCTTAACCCCAAGGTAAAAAATAACCCAGGATACAAAGTCCCAGAAGGCTACTGTGAGATCAGATTTGATATTTTCAGCTTTCCATATGGATACAGCCATTCACCTCAATTGGTTTCAAGCCAGGTATTACCTGGCTTGAAAATATCATTAAATGAAAATATCATTAAAAATAAAACAAAAATCTTAAGTAAGTTCTAAAATTCAGTCAGGTAAGGAATATATGCAGTGGACAATGTCAGTTAAAGAAGTTGGACTGGTGGGGCCCAGGAAGAGAGTCTTAACTGCCATTTTCTCACCTTTTGGAACATTCTTCCCTCAGCAGTGAGACCGAACTCTCCCGACCTTTCAGTTGCTTTGGTTGTTTTATTCTTATTTTTAACTGGTTTTTATTGTAATAGTTACTGTATATATTTTGTTTTTATGTCTATTTGTATACTGCCCAGAGTCACTCTATGAGGTAGATGGACAGTGTATGAATGTGATATATAAATAAATAATAGTTTTTCTGAGTTGAACTTTTACTCATCTTTCACTTTCTACATTTATGAATTCAGTAACAGCTTCTCTGTGAGGGAGATGGGCGGTTAGAAAAATAGATTATAGATAGATGATAGATGAGAAATAAATATGATTTGAAATAACCTGAAGTACAGATAAATGTCTGTATTCCACTTCTGGCTAGTAAATACATGTTAATGTGACCTCAGAAGTGACTTGCCTGTGATGTATTTGTCACTTGTTTCTACTTTCCACATGTCGGCATTTTTCAACCCAATAACCTGACATGTTCCTTCCCTATTGTCATAAGGATCACCCATTTTTTCTTGTCAAAGAGGTGGTGGTGGTGACAGTTCTTCTAGGCCAGACATGTCAAATTCGCGGTCACGTGACGACGTACAACGTATCAGGACAGTTTTGCCATTGCTGGCAATGGGGTGGGCGCGGCTTCCATATGATGCGTCCAGCCCGCGGGCCAGCAGTTTGACACCCCTGTTCTAGGCCTTTAAAACTTTTATCTCAAAGCAGAATTCATGCATGCCCCTTTTTCATAAGGCCAAATACTAGGTACTGGATGTGAATAGTTCCATCATGGAAAAAGTATAAAATAATCAATGAAAAGGAGATGAACAATTATTTTTCCAGATTATTTATACATCCCTTTGACCAGAGGTTGTGGGCACTTCAACACTGGAGGCTTTTAAGAAGAGATTGGACAGTGATTTGTCTGAAATGGTATAGCATCTCCTGCTTGAGCAGAGGGTTGGACTAAAAGATCTCCAAGGTCCCTTCCAACTGTTATCTTTCTTACATATAATTCTGAAAGTATATAAAAATTATTTCAAAAAGTTTCTTGTAACTAGATATGTATGGTGAGTGCTGCTGATGATTAAAAGGTCTTAATAGTCAATGATGCAATTATAGTTTTAGATACACCATTAATAATGTGTGCACTTAGGTATTCTCTAAAAATATGCTATAGTCTACATGTTGTCAACAACTATGCCAATACCTGGATGCAAATGTATACCATATGATCCATAGTTCATATGAATCTCTGCTTGCATAGGATACTCCATTTATTTAATGAGTGTCTGTGTGATGAAGGTGGAGGCAGTTATATGAATCTTTATCATGTGTATGAAACTCCCTTCATTGAAAGTAATGGATTGGTACTTATGTAATGGCATTACATATAATGTTTTGGGACATCACGGGATGTGTAAGTTTCTACATAGATTGCTTGTTATTCCCCAACAGTGGAAACACAAGAGCAGCAGCTATGACCTCCTCTTACCATACTTTCTCTTTGGCTATAGCATGAATTTTGCCAGAGTGAAAGAGGACATGTTACTAGATAATGGTATCAATGGTGAATATGTTTCCCAAAATGTAGCATTGGGCAATAGGATAACATGCAACAATGGGATACCTAATTGAGATAATACCATCAGTGGCAAAACTGAAGCTCTCTCACACACAAAACAATGTCTATGGAGATTCTCTGTCATCCAGGTCATGGTTGTCCCAAAGGTGCTTTTCAAGAGGCAACTGGACTTTGTTTTTCCTTAAAGATGTTTAGCTTCTCATCCAAGAAGCTTCTTCAGTTCCTTTCAGAAGCAAAACATCTTTAGGAAAAACAAAGACAGTTCAGTTGCCTGAAAAAAGGACCTTTGGGACACACACAGAACAGATTTTAACTAGCTTAATGGGCTTTTTTTTTTTTTTTTTAAAAAAGCAAGATCAAATTGATAATGTTTAGTATTTTTCTATTTAATATCAGCACCTTTTAAGCATCCAAGCTCTAGATAATTTCTGCACATATAAAATTCATCAGTTTCAACTATGCTGAAATAAGATGTAGTCACAAATTACAGAAATATGCACCATTTTATCACCAGCATAATTTCAAGTATTTTTAAATAAAAGTTTGTTCAATGGTTAAATACAATACCACCTATAGTTTGACTGTATAATGCATATCAATCTGCCCCAAATTTGATCTTGAATGTATTTATAACTACTTTTTTACCCTTTACAATAAACGTATATCAATGTTAAGTTTCCATTTTACTAGTTTATACTTTAAGAATTAAATTTCCCAGGCACAAATAACAAAATAACTATTTTTCTTTATTATTTTATCAAGACATGTCAACAGATATGAATTAACAGTATATTTAACATTTCAATATTATTAGGAAATAGCCACAATACTACTGAATATTTTTAAAAACTCCAGACTAAAATGTGACATTTGTATATAGGTATTACAAGCTATTTGGGTGTGTATCACAAGAAAAGGGTAGGCACAGAATGGAAATAAAGAAGCCAAATAATTTGAGTACCTCTTATGAGGATGCAAGTAAAAAGTGGATTTGTTGTGAGAAGTAAGTAAAACTGGAAAGAAGGTAGGCAAGTGAGGGGATAATATTAAAAGAATAAAACCTGGAAATACACATACACCATACACAGGAGAGAAAGGAAGAAGAGCGCAGAGTGAGATTAGAATAAAAGAGCATAGATAACAATACTTAATACTGTTCCATTTTAATGTATACTTAACATATAATGGACACAACATCCAAATATTTTAAGTTTTATTGCTGATTTGCTGACAGTACCATGATGGACAGTATTCATGGATGCTACAGAAACTACTATTTCTAAAATCAAAAGCAAAATCACTAGGACTTCGATCCTGTAAATACTAACTTCAGTCCCACAGATTTAACTGGCTGTATAATGACTACATCAAAATTTAACAGTTTGAGGGGAAAAAAGAGCAGAGAATTTAGTTTGGATAGCTTCAAAAAGATTATGAAATAAAGCTATTGGTTTGTCTACCCAAATCTTTGTAACCCTCATTACGAATAGAAGCAACCATGATAAGCATCTTGGTTTTGTTATTGCTGAAGTTTTTGTTCACAATTATTCCATTATTCCCCTTCCCCCCTTTTTAGAGCTCCAACCCACCCACCTCTATTTCAAGAATCTGGTATATTTTTGGCAAGTTCACCCCAAGACTCTTGTGGGGTGAATGGGCCGAATGGGCCATTTGTAAATTGCTGCTATAAAAGGGAGAGAAACCCTCTGCGTTGAAATAAAAAATTCCTGCAAGCAGGGCAGTAGAAATAATTTACGGGAAAGCCTTCTCTATACTACAAAGTATCAATATTGTGTTTTATTTTCCATAGTATTATCAGATTTAAAATGACATTCTAATGCATAACAGCTGCAAAAAGAAATGGTTGCAATTATGTTTTTCTCATAAAAACTAATTTTTGATATGCCTGGGAATTTAAGAATAAAAGGTTAGCTATAACAATACGATATTTTCCTAAAAATAATACCAGTTCAGTCTCATATCTAAGAAACCATATTAATTTTAAAAAGATTAGAGGTTTCAAAAATGTTAATGTGACACACACAAAGCCTCTGAAAACTTCAGTTTATCTTACAAAAGAATTTGTACAAATGTAGGTACTTGCACAAAATATAACACTATGAACTCCTATGTATCCGTACATTACAAATACTAAAATGATTCCAGTGACTGATATCCATCAGCTAACTTCCAAATAATAACATAAGAGTTATATTTTCATTTTGTCTAGGCCAACTTCTGTAACCGTGGAACAAAAGGTAATTGTGTAAACAAAGCTAAAATTTTACCCAATAAAATTACATTTAAACTTTACAATCATAACTGCCTAGATCCAAAACTGATACGCATGAATGCATCAATCATGCATGCTTTTTTCAGCTACTCACTAAAAACTCTTTTTGAGATAATGTAAATTATTCCTTGTGTTAATGGAAGTGCATACAGTTGGTGGGTGTATTTCTGAATTTCATCAAGCATTTGATATGAAATAGATCAGATTTACTATAATTACTTTCTTTTTTATTCCAGCACAGCATAGCATTTCTGAAAACCTACTAAAATGTACTATAGAAGAACCAGTTTCAGGAAATGAACAGTAACAGCAGCCTCTGAATGTCTGGTGTATCATGACAAAAAAAGTTGAACTAAAGGATTAAAACTGTCAACAGTAGATTATTGGTTGAATGTTATATATCCCGTCTTTCTTCCAGGAACTCCGGGAGGTGAACAACTCAGTTCTGCCTCTTAATTTTTTCCCCGCAAGAGCAAGCCTGTTCAGCAGATCAGACTAAAGAGTGGGCGACTGTTCATTGAGTTTCTTGGGCCTTATGAGGCCTTAGGTAGTTAACAGTGGATTTTCCTCTAGCTTTCCTGCTTCTACACCCTAACCATACACCACATAAGTATGCAGATAACCAAACATTCCTTGATTTTCTAAATGTTAGAACTTAAAATAATACTCTTTACTCAAATAGCTTATTAAAGACCTGCGCAGCACAAAAAGCAACAACAATGAGCTTAATCAAATTTAACGGTTTATAAGATGGCAGAATTACAGTTAGCCCAAACCAAGTATTCCCACTAAAAAATGATAGAATGAGGGCAAAAAATGGATTATTTCACACTCTGCGGCTTTCTGTAAAATGCAGGATACAGTAGAGCCAGTTATGTTTAAGTTATTGCAATGGAACACAACATAGACATTTGTGTGGCAAGGGGTGGGGTGGGGGAGAAACCTGCTTTTAATTGTAACTGGAGAAGACCACATCAGCTCTGAAAACGTGTATCAAAGCAGAGCTGCCATGTGCCCTAAATTCAGTTAAGTCAGCACATTTCTCATCAGTGTGTTTAAATTCTATATTACGCAAGTCCAGCAATTGCACATTTTAACACTGTAATACACAATGTACAATCATATAATTTTCTCAAGAAAGGATGCTGCAGTCAATCTTAAGTATGATTCCATATACATCAACTGAAAATAAATATAAAACATCTCTATTCCAGAAGTCATGTTTCTGCATTTCGCCCTCACCAGTAGCAACAACATCATGTGAATAATAAGCCCATTGCAATAAGTCAGTTCTATTTCATAGGAAAGAGGATTGGCATATCCATGCAAAATGTACAATCTCTTCAATAAAATATATTCTGCAAAAGCTAGAAACAAGGAAGTTGAGGACAAAATAAAGGAATATTGAAAGAGGTTTTTTTTTTAGGACACATGGACAAAATGTAAGATGCCATTTTCAGGGAGAGAGATGAACCTAACAGAAGCAATATCCTGTCTGATTATACAATAGTGAACACTGTGTAGAAGAGTAATTCCTGAATTAAAGTTGCTGAACATGGTTCAGATTACTGGATACCTCTAAAAGTATAATGCTTTGCAGAAGCATTTACTGTGTATCAACATCCTACTTCTTACAACACATGGTGTTGCATAAGTAGTGAAAATGTATTCAAAAGGTGCTTGGACATCTTTTTAGGCAGCATTTTATCATTATTTTTAGCTATCATCTTACTCAGTTTTATGATAAATGGTCAAGGGGTATTCAAGCAGAAAAAAAGTCTGGGTTTGAAATATTTTTTTTAAAAAATAAGAGATAAAATGTTGCCCAAAGTCTAAAATCATTTTCACACAATTCAATGTTCTTTTTAAAAGTTAGATATATAAATTAAATAGTTCTAATAGTTAAAGATACAATTTGTATCAACAGCGTAGGTACTTTCTGATTCTATAGCATCTTCAAGTTGCAGTCATCCACCCAGTTATCAGCAATAATTATATAAACTTGGGAATCATCACAGTATGAAGCTCTGAAGGGACTTCTATTATATGAGCAGTCAATCACGATGTCTACGGTATCAGGCACTGTGAGATCTACTGTTAATCTATTTATGTAAAATTACATTTTACAAGAGCTACAAAAGCTCAAAACTTAAAACCAGAAATCTCCCATACTAATACTAGAAGAGATGACAGTGTCTACTTCTAAAGCTATGTTGTTCATGGCAAGAATTGGGCCTATATAATGCAACAGGCCAGAAAAACTAATTCTATACAGTATTTCACAAAAAGAATGTGCTGTTTTCATCTATAATTACCATTACTATAGTGCAGTTAAGATGTTGCATATCCTGAACACAATGTAAAACTTTCTCAATAAATAGCATGAAAATACACAATCTTATATACAAAAATTGCATTGAGAACATAATTTGTTTCTTTAAAAACAGTTATTTTATGAAATACCTGTGCATTAAGTAAAAGAACAAGAGATACACTTTTCAATGCCATTTCTGATTAATGGAAATGTACATTGGCTGCACAAGACTGTTGCCTAAACGGATATATTTGTAGTCAAATTTGTGACAATCAGGAACTGGATAAGCTGAATAATTTCAGGACCTGCACATAAAGTTTTTTTTTCATCTGCATAATAAATTAATAAAAACAAGTTTCTCTCCTACTGATTGCTTCTGCTTACAACAAAATTAACAGTAATCAACAAATAAATTAAATCCATAACCAAATTAAAAAGTGCCATACTATAAAGTACTAATATATTGTTACCCATTTCAATGTAAAAACTGGTAACTTATACATTACTTTAAAAAATTCAGTGCTGTAAAAGACTGTTGTTTTCTATAAATAAAATGATTATATACAAAGAAAATCACACAATAAAATTAAATAACTTAATTATGAAAAAAATAGATCCTAATAAGCTTAACTTGAAAAAAAGTTGGCTGGGCACAGAAAATCCTCTTTAGTTTTCTGCTGTTTTGAAAAAAATGTTTTGCACTTGAAGGATAAAACACCCAATAATTTAATAAATATGTAACAAATATTAAAAAGTGCTGCATATAAAACCCACATGCACTAGGGATTCTTATTTGAGACATCATAGTTATAATATATTCAGCTGGAGAGACATTCCAGCCACGAAATTTTTTTTTTTAAAAAACTGAGTATTTAAAATAAATCCTGTTACTTCCAGTGTGGGGTTATACATACAGGTTCCATGGCACAGTATTTCACATATATGGATTACTATATAACCTCCTTGCTGAGAAGGAGATCACAAATGCTATTGTAGCAAACCTCCCTCAGCAATACAGCTGAAACTGAACTATAGACACCATAAAGATGCATCATCAATATCATGTCATCAATAACCTAGCTGAGACTTCTCCACTAAAATGGCTGCAGCAAGCTGCTGAGCATCTGCCATGTGAGGATTCCTCTTCATAACAATCCTCACCAGGTCAGGCGGGAAAATGTTGCACAGGTTGATGTAGACTTTCTCTCGACTGTCTTGGTACCTTGGAAGATCTTGAGGCATTCCACAGTAAGGTATCTGCCAAGGCTGATCGGGTTGCTCAGGTAAGCTTTGGAAAGCAAAGTGTTCATAACATGGTGGAGTGGGATTGCTGGGTAAAGAGTAAGTTTGGCGATAGCCATATGTATCCATCCCATAGCCTGGCCTATCCCAACTACTGAGTCCATCTTGAGCAGAGTATGTTTTTCTTTTTCTCAATGGAGAATTATCATACAAACGTGAGTCTGATATACTGTCCAGTCTTGTGGATGCAAGAGCTCTCCCCAGAGGCATGCTTTTTGAATGCTGTGAACCCTGAGAAGTGGGGTAGTCAATAGGACAAGTAGAACGGCTTCCCATGTTTGGATGCTGAAACTGCACAGCCATGTATGGAACTGAAGGCTTCGGATGATGCTTTGGTTCTTCATGACTATAACTTTGCACTCTGGTTAGTGTATCGTGGTAACTCTGTAAGAAGGACTGCGAATTCAGATGGCTACGGGGATGCATATGTTGACATTTTACATTCTCTTCCAGTTGAGGGTCAGGAGAACTCACATAGGATCTATCATTGTAACCCATGTAGGAATCACTACTGCCACAACTCATGCTCCCTTCACTACTACAATCAGAAGCTACAGAACTAATTCTGTAATCTGTGTCCAAAGAGAAACGTCTTTCCGGACTTCTGGGACCAGAGATACTTAGGTTTGAATATGCACTGAGCATAGAGTAATAACCTACATCCACAGGAGAATCACATTTGGGATACTGCTCGTAAGGCATTGGCGTTCCATGATTTTTGGTTGTCATTATCACTGGAGAATATGGTCCCTGTGGTCTTTGATCCTGAGGTGGGAAATGAACTCCAGATGGAAGGCCATTAGTTAAAGGTGCAGTACTTTGGGGTTTTGCAGCAGCAGAAGTTGGTATACTAACTAAAGAAGGTACAGATCTGGTTCCCAATTTATTTTTGGTGGGAAGCTTTTCTTCCAAGTCTTGGTAGACTTGAGTCCTTATACTAGGATCTGATTGCCTCTTTGGAGTAGTTCGCTTGAGATCTGTAGTGTTATCTGTCTTAGTACTACAAGGAACACTGTTGCTTTTCACCAGTCCTCCTTCACTAGCAGCTTTGGCAGCTGTGTTCCTAGACATGGCACGAAGTTCATCAGCTACTGACCTCTGAGGCTGATTTCCTCTTTCTGGGTGATAATATTTGCATTTGTGTCCATAAGTGCATTTCTTCCCTATATGAATTTATAATTGAAGATGTAAGCATACAAAGTAAAAAAAAACAAAACAAAGTAATTTATTTCTTCAGCAATGTTTAAAAAGTACTGTATATACTCATACAACGAGGACCATTAAGAGTTATGCAATGAAATTAACTAAATTATCTGTAATTGGACAGTGTGTTTGCATAACACGTTAACCCATCCTGTGATTAGCCCTATCATACTGCCTGAATACAAATCAAGATTATATAATAATTGGGAATAACCATATAGAAATCAGGATTATTTACCTAAACAATAGCCTGCTATATTATTCAAACTTTAACTGGAGGGGGAGTTTGATAGAGAGGGGAAGCCTCATCTTCAGGATCTCTGCTGTTCTGGATTCCCCCCCCCCCCATTCACTACTTAAAAGGGATAAAATGAGGACACAAAGGGATTCATCATTAAACTTCTTACATAATGAAAATTTCAACACAGATATATTTCACTTCATTTCTGAAGAGACAAACAATCAAGCTTCATTTTAAAAAACACATTTAATGTTTAATTGAATAATATTACCATATGGACAGGGTTGCTTCTTATGTTCTGGTACAACAGGTTTCTTCCTCAAAAAGTTCTCCAGACTTGGGCCATGACGGCCGAGAGGATCGTCTGGAGGCATGAATCTAAATAATAAAACAATGAAAGGAACAATGCATTTGCTGTGCCATATTTCAGATCTATTTTAAACCTGCTCCTAAAAAAGACTAGTAAATCAAAGTTATAGCTACTGCCTGTTAGTTTAAATGCAACTGTGTGTGAGATGCTAAGAAAGTAAATAATGAAAATAATGTATTTGCATGTCGTGCAGATAGCTGCCTGGTTTATGTACCAATCTATTCAATTTGCATAGCAGATAAATGGGTGTCCTTACTTCTTTATTTCCATTCATTTAAGATAATGTCCAGAGCAGCTCTTCTATGAGGAGGTCTTTGCATACAGGTAGTCCTTGCCTTATGACCATTAATTTAACAACCAAAGTTACAATGGTGCTGAATAATTTGATCAGTCTTTGCACATATAATCCTCACAATGTCCTGAGGTCAAAATTTGGGTACTTGTCAACCAGCATGTATTTATGATGGTTGCAGCATCCTGGGATCACATGGTCAACATTTGCAACCCTCCTAGAGGGGAATCCCAACAAGCAAAGTCAGTGGGAGAGAAGCTGGATATGATTCACAGGTAATCACTTTGGCAACAAAGGTTGGGCATGTCTCAATGACTGCATTGTTTAGCAATGGAAGTTCCAGTCCCAATTGTGATCATAAGTAGAGGACTAGTGTGAGGAAACACAATTTATATGTTTTCCTGCATGCTTGTACATACAGAAGCTTATGTAAATAGATATGTGTATTGTAGATAGTATACAATCTATCTTTCCAAAAACAAAGCATTTTGGAGAACTGGAATTTTCTGTTTCTCCTCAGAGTCTAAATGACTGGTTTAAACAAAGTTTAAACAATGATTGGTTTAAATAAAATCAAAACAAAACATTAAAATATAATATATATGTTGTGAGAGAAAGGAAAGATGGTAAGGGTTGGAAAAAGAAAATAAAACAAAAACAAAAAAGGCAGATCAAGAAAGAATGGGAGTTAGCATAATGAGAATAAGTCAACTGGTCACAATGAATTCAATATCATTACTGCTCAACAACAGACTGGGGTAATGAATGTGAATGTGAAAGAAAGTTCTTAGTCATCTTTCTCTACACACAAAAACTGCAGAGATAACTTTAAGAATTATCTTAAACTGATTATCACTGATTGGAGAGTATTCCTAAGTCCTCCCTTATCATATCACCAAGATGTTTATGTTAAGTATGAATAGTTACTTTCAGTAGCAGTTGTGCAAGGCTCTATCCTTTCTAATGCTATGGAGCTAAAAACTAAATATCAAAGGGAGAACTTCACAAAAGATTTTGAATCAGAAAAGAGCAATTCAGAGACACTTGTCTTAAGTGAGTTTAAAACCTGAAAAATCTTTAATTGTGTTTGGGCTTTTCTCCAAGTTGAAGCACACTCCTGTTCCAATGATACATATTTAATCCTCAAATCCAGCTTTCTGACTTATAGGAATCTAGACCCAATGTGCCCTCATGAATAAATATTAGAAATGCATAATCTATTGAACAACTTACATAGTTAGCAGTTTAAAAATATCTGTACAGTTTTCCAACAGAACAGAAATAGCAAAATTTGTAGGCTGGAATATTTATCCATAAGACACTGACCTTATGCCTGATTTTAGTCACTTCTGGAGATTTGGGAGGAAGTTATTTCCTTTTTTTATTTCAATAACAGAGTTGGAAGGGACCTTTGAGGTCTTCTAGTCCAACCCCCTGCTCAGGCAGGAAACCCTATACCATTTCAAACAAATGGTTGTCCAATCTCTTCTTAAAAATTTCCAGTGTTGGAGCATTCATAACTTCTGAGGCAGATTGTTCCACTGATTAATTGTTCTGTCAGGAAGTTTCTCCTTAGTTCTAGGTTGCTTCTCTCTTTGATTAGTTTCCATCCACTGCTTGTTGTCCTGCCCTCAGGTACTTTGGAAAATAGCTTGACTCCCTCATCTTTGTGGCAACCCCTGAGATATTGAAACACTGCTATGTCACCCATAGTTCTTCTCTTCAGTAAACTAGACATACCCAATTCCAGCAACTGACATGTTTTATATGTTTTACCAGATACTGGTTTGCACTTAATAGTATAGAATCAAACTGTTTGTCTCAGAACAGGAAACAGAAAAAGAAAAATTATAACAAGTACTATATGGCTTTCCTAGGACATTGGTTTCATTTCAAAATTACTCTGTTCAGAGATAGTAAAGATCTGGCCATCAGAGGAGTACATGTCCCAAATCTTGTTGACAATCATCTTTTAGACATAGACAATTAAAAATTATAACTTACTTGTCATTGACAAATGAATACATCAGAAGTCGCTCATCAATAAATTTCTTCCATTCTGGCTTTTCATTAGCTAGATCTCTGTAGTTATCATTAGATACAATTATACCATCTGACTCAAAAGCCAACTTCACTATGAATCTGTCATCATAGCATACCACCCTTCTCCCTTGAACTCGACGTGATGGGGTGAACACCAGAATTTTCTCTTTTTCTAATTTACGCAAGATTTCTTGATCTAGAATATTGAAATTGAAAAGGGAAACAAAAAGAGAATACTGAAATTCACTTAATTCAGGTCATCTAGTTCTACCCTATTACCTACACACACACACACACACACACACACACTAACAAATTCAGATGACTTGGCTTAATAAAAACAAATATTATTCTAATGGAAGCAGATAGTTACAATTCAGCAACACATAAATATATAAGCTGCCTTTACTCATGACCTCAACAATTGTGCTTAGGGCCAGATGTTTCTACATTTAATTCCAATAATCTGCAGTAAGACTTGTACTAAATTAAAAGACTGGAATGTTATGTTTTCTATACATTAAGAGTATGTTTGGTTATTAAACACATAGTTATAATGCTATACTATATTTCCAATATCTGTAAACATTATTTGAGCAGTTTCTCCTAAAGATACATCCAACCGAGGGCATAGTAAAAGGCAAATTCTTGATCAGCCCTTAGATACCAAGACTGAAAAAGAAAAGTTTCCAATAACTTTTGAACTATTTGAATATCAACTTATATTACAGACATAGCCTTTCCCAAGCATTTGAGGCAATTCAATTTGAGATGATGCAAGCCAAAATACATTCAGTTACTAATTCAGGATTTAGAAAAAGGGCCTTGCTTAATAATGAAGTGGTTGCTGATAGCTTTGGGAATCTGCAGAAACATATTTGAATATTCATTTTTGTCCTAAACGGTAGCAGCTTTTATAACATTTAATTACTGTATATTTCACATTTTATTTGAAGATACAAATCTTTTCCAAGGAGGTTACAAGCAACATCTGAATATATATATACCGTAAATGCCGGCGTACAAGGCGACCCGGCGTATAAGACAACCCCCATCTTTATAGCCAGGCCGCATTCCTAGAACGTCGTCTTATACGCCGGAAACTACCAGTATTTCCGGCGTATAAGACAACTCGGCATATAAGACGACCCCTGTCTTTGGCGCCGATTTCAGCGCTCGCGGAAGTCGCCGCATACGCCGGCATTTACAGTATATATATGACATAACTGCAAATTAAGTCATCCAGCCACATACTTTAATCAAATATTGTCTAAATATTTTTTCTGCTTAGAATATTAATAGATAGGTGACAAGATACAGAGTCAGCATCAGCTCTGAATCTAATTTTTATCGTTTAATACAAAATTAACCTATAAGAGTCCTTTTTATTTGTAAACCTCCAATAAAAAGTTAAGGCAATAGATCTGATATATAGTAACAAATCTTAGATTGTGACTCTAAGACAGTGGTTCTCAACCTTTTTAATGCCGCGACACCCAACCAGTCGTAAGTCAAGGACTATTCAACCGGTCGTAAGTCGAGGACTACTCAACTGGTGCAGCACCGTTTGCAGAATGGGACTTTTGGCGGGCTCAGCAGGGCAGAGACAGCCTGGACAATTCCTATTGGCTTTTGAAAGCCAATAGAATTAGACTCTATTCAAGAGAGTCTATTCTATTGGCTTTCAAAAGCCAATAGAATAAAAGGGAGTAGCACAGCTAAGGAAAAGAGGAAAAAAATGGCAGACTGTGTTGTTTGGCGACCCCCGTGAAATGTCGTTCAACCCCAAATGGGGTCCCGATCCACAGGTTGAGAACCATTGCTCTAAGATATAGGTATTATTAATATACGAACATGAGGTAACAAACATTAAAAGATATTGAATGCAGACATTCATAATAATCAGTATTATCAACTGAAAAACAGACATCCTATGGCAAATGATGAAATATTTCATACAGGTAAACCTTGCTTAAAGACTGCCTTATTTAGCAACCATTCAATCATATGACTAAACCACTTTTCTGTGTCACTCACTTTTGTATTCACATTCAACATCCATTTAAGCTTGATTTTACTACATTTTCTTGTTTTATTACACATAATTAACTGCTCCAGACACACTGCACTCAATTTATTTCTATGTCTCTCCTGACATACCCAATTCTCACTTCTATATCAAACTAGACAGTACTACGTTCTTATACATAATTTTAATTTTTTTTAAAAAAAAACATTCCTTCCTCGCAACAGAATACGTACTATCCATTACATATTATTTAGAGAGGCACCAAGAATTTGCAAATTCTGATTTAAATTGATCTAAAAACATCAATTCAGAGAATAAATTGTAATACAAGCACCTGTCGTGTTTCCATTTTTCATATATTGAAATGCAATTCTACATCAACATGTATTAAATATATGCTTTTTGAGAACAAATATTATACTAAATATGTATTTTAGGTGCAAAGTGCTTAGACTTATGCATGAAAATGAAATAGTATTGAAATGGGCACCAAAGCACCTGAAGGCAGGACAAAAAATAACAAGTAGACTATCATTAAACGGTGATCCACCTAGAACTGAAGAGAAATTTCCTGACAATGAGAACAATTAATCAATGGAACGACTTGCCTTCAGAAGTTTGAGTGCTCAGTCACTGGAGGTTTTCAAGAAGAGATTGGACAATCATTTGTCTAGAATGATGTAGGTCTTCTGCTTGAGCAAGTGGTTGGATTAGAAGATCTCTAAGGCCCTATACAACCCTGTTATTCTATGTTCTAAAATATTTTGATTAAAGCAGTCCTTAAAATATTTACTCATATAGAATAAGCAAGATCAAAATTGTCATAGATTTTACAAATGAAACTGCTGAAAGCTGATCAAAATATACCTGTAATGAGTGCATCTGGTCGTGACTGTTCTTTTCTCCATGCTGGAACAAACACTGTGACATCTTTGTGTCCTCTTTCCAAAAACCAATCCACGGCCAGTTTTATCCCACGACAAGAGAATACTTCTTTGTTTCCATGGCTGAAACAGATGTCCTAAATTTACTAATCTACATTATTGTAACTACCACTGTTTCATATATGTATGAATGGAATCTACTTGCATTCTGCCCTCATAAGCACAAAGCACTCCAAAGTAATTAACGAAAGCTAAGTGTGGCATTTAAAAACTCTCATAAAATAATAAATTGCCTGTGAATTTGTATGTGGCATTACTTTGATAAATGTTACTCCAAATCAGTTACATTTAAGTATTATTAGTAAATTTTACATATTTTCAGAACTACATGGTTAAGTATTTAATTTCAGTTTAATTTATATACAACTGATGCAATATATCTCCTAATAGCTAGATCAAAATAAGCTACTTAGCAGACAGTAATAGTAAAAATGGCGGCCACATAAACCAAGACATGATTTTGATGTTTGAAAACGAAACACAGTTATCTCTCTCATATAAAAACTGGAATATAATTGTTTCATTAACAGTTAATAGCATTTCAAACAAGAACTTTGAAATGCAAAGTATAGTTATGACTATAACTGTTGCATAAAAGACAGAAGTACAAGAATTTCAGTTTATCATCATGTCTGAGATATACCTCAAGAAAAGAGAGAAAGTAACATGGTGCTGAGGAAGCACATATAACTGCTCCTTGGATTATTTTCTAAATAGCCAGTTCTTTTTAATCTGTAATTTTCTCACCTTTAGTTGCACAAGATCGTTCTTAACTATATAATTGGGCATTTTTTTAATCAATACTTTCATATCGCAGTAAATGGAAAAAAGAAAGAAGATAGAGAGTAGCTCCAAGTACATTAATTATTTCTTCCACTCACCATAAGAATTAGACTTTCAGGGCCCTTTACTTCATCAGCTGCCATTAATCAGCAACTGCATTGCTTAGAGAAGAGGGTCAGGAGGGGAATTTCAACACAACTGAAACCAAAGACTTTTTTTTTTTGAGACTAATAAGCAACTAGAAAAAAACTTTGCTTTTATTAATGACAACTCCAGCAAGGCTATTACATGTTCAAAACTGGGAAGGTTTGACACTACCTACGAGGAATCTTTCCAAAACAGGTACTTTATGAAGAGAAAAATATTTCAGTTCTGGTTACACCATATCACCAAATTGTCACCACCGTAAATTCAAAAAGGAAAACTGCAAAATATCCTGGGGACAATGTCCCAATGTGTGATGTCTCCCTTGGATGATTCCCCAGATACCTCCTTAGATGTCAGCTCAGGGGAAGATGAACTAATTCCTGGCACATCAGGAACTGATTTGATTGATCACTCTGAATGGCCATCCAGAAGGGATTTAGCTGAGGCTCCAGCTGGGGAAAGCTTGCAGTGGTTGATGGCCAGCAAAGAGGAGGAGGAACTGCCTTCTGCGCCTGATCCAAGAACACGTAGGGCAGAAAAAAGGCAGGAGCAGAGGAGGTCAGCCAGATTACTTGAGAGGAGAAAGCCTCATCTGTCTTGATGGGCTGCAACAGAAGCTGGCTATTTATCACACCAGCCAAATGGAGGTGTTGTTGGGAACAACATGTTTGCTTTCTAGCTGTGTGTTTGGTCATCGTGATTCCTGCTTCACTCTGGATTGACACCATGTTCGGAACTGAATTGTGCCTTGGAAACTCTGAACTTTGCTTGCCCTGTGAGATGTTTTATATGTGGCTTTAAGTTTTGCCTGGTGGCTTTAAGTTTGTCTGGTGGAGTTATTTTGCCCACTTCTACAACTGGATGCAAACACTGTGGTAGTTCAGGCTTCTGGTTTTGCGCAGTTAGTGCAACAGCTGAGGGATCACGAGACTCCATGCCCTATGGCTGATTTCTCTCTGTTTGTGGACCCTAAATGGGCCCAAAGACACCCCAGAGAGGTGGCAAGGGAGGAGGGAAGCCCCAACGATCATGGGAGACGGTGGTCGATCCAGACATCCGGGGAAAGCCCTCCAGAAACCAACAGAAGAAAGGCTAGCGTCATTCGTGAGTCTAGCCCATATGGGTAGTGCTTATGCGGGCGCTATACAGAACAGGGAGAAAACATCGATCCACAGTTAAAGTGGGTGGGAAAAAGTACCTGGAGCCTTAGTGGGACGGATGAGGGCATTAAAAGAAAATCAGATACCCCGAGACCTGCAGTAGAAGGAAAGATGAAGTGGGAGTAAATATCATCAGAAGGGAGGAGGACATAAGGGTGTTAACAAATTTAAATATTGACAATGAAAGAGCAGGTAAGAAGATCTGGAAGAACGACAGAAGAAAACACAATACGAATATCAAGGAAACATCTGGAACACAAATTGACCGGCCAGGACCGGTGACGCGGTCTAAGAGCCAGGTGCAAATGTCAGCCAAACCTATTTAAGTCATCTTTGTTAACTGGCTTTTAGCCCTGATGATGTTAGGAGTTCCCAACGAAAGCTTGGTGGTTTTAGTAAAGTATTTTCGTACTTGGATCCTCCTGGTGGTCGCATGTTATTTATTTTTATTTATAATTATGCCCAGGAGTCGTATTTTTACGGATATCATTAAATATATATATATTAAAGGTAAAAAGGGATATATACAGTGTTTTCTTCATTTTAGATATCAAAAGGGTTTTGCGTCTCCCAGTGTTTTGTTTTCGGTGGGAAACGGGTCCAAATGGCTCTTTGAGTGTTTTGGGTTGCCTACCCATGGTCTAGCCCAAGCTACATGCAGCCAAAGACAAAAACTACTAAATTAAGTGTGATCGTAAACAATGTGACTGAGCTGGGTAAGAATATTGATTCTCTCTCTTCTACCTGACTGATTTCCTGGGGAAAAAAAAGAAAAAATCCCGAAATAAAAAATTCTCAGAAAGTGAGGGAAGGAGGTTTGCTCCGCCTCTCTCTAAACGGAAGCGGAGAATTAAATTTATGGGGAATAAAAATACAGAAATAAAATTAATATAACACTTAAACCTGGAAAATGTGAAATCGATGAAATTTATTAAGCGTTTCCTGGCAAAAGATTATTGACAGAGATAAAAGGCTTATTTGTTTTGAAAATTGAAAGATGGACTGGTACTGACATCTAGTGGTGGATGAAAATACTGCCCTAAATATACAGCCCAGAAAAAAACCCTGATATTGTGATCTTCAAAGCCTTAACAGCTGTAATAATAATAAAAAAGAGAACACTGTGGACTATCTACAAAGCGAGAACTACAAAACTTAGAAAAAATTGACCTTCCTGGATTATAAAATATTTTTTAAACTGTGACTTTAAAGCGACTGGCAGAGAAAGGATTTTTGGTCATTATGGAGCATCAGAGGTCTGCAGAAAGAATGTACCAAGAAAAAATAAACACTTTCCAGGAGGAAATGTATGTTATGTTACAACAATTTCAAACCATGAGGAAATTAAAAATGATTTTGAAAACTTAAATGAATGCATCTTTAATTTAACGTCACAACACATAAATGATCAGAAAACAAAAAGAAAGAGAGATCATGTAAAGCAGACAACTGAATATAAACTAGTGGAAAGAAATTTAGAGATGGAGACTCAAGTAGAGACTTACAAGAAACACTGGACATGGAAAAGAAAATTCTAAGCCCACAAAATAAATTTGAGGACAAGAAAAAAGATTTGACAAGATGGATTGCAGAGCTGTTGGGGGTACTACAAGAAATGGGGAGACAAGAGATGATGAGAGAAATCTTTAATGAATATGAAGGGGCAAAATCTCTACACAAAGACATGATGTTTGATTTGCCTCTTATATTTACAACATCTACAAGATTATGAAAAGACTCTTTGATTCAATGGAATAAATTGATTGGGAAAGATGTTTGGCAAAAGGAGAGGGCTAAAGTGAGAATTGAGGAATTAGATGATGGGGCGTATCAGAGGGAATACTTAAAAATTAAACACTTGTTCGAATATGGCTGAAGAAATGGAAAGATTTTAGTTTAAGAGGGTTGAATATCCCAAGTAAGATAGTATTTTCTTCTTTCTTTTTCTCTTTTTTATTAAAAAGATTTATTAAATGGAACATCTCAAGATTAAACATAGGTTTAATTATGGGTAAAAAGAACAGAAAAAAAACTTGGAAATAATTGTATACTAGTTTAAGAGGGATATGTATTTTAAGTAGTTTGTTGTTGTTAATTGCGAAGTCGTGTCCGACCCATCGCGATCCCATGGACAACATTCCTCCAGGTCTTCCTGTCCTCTACCATCTTCTGGAGTCCATTTAAATTCACACCTACTGCTTCAGTGACTCCATCCAGCCATCTCATTCTCTGTCGTCCCCTTCTTCTATTGCCCTCAATCTTTCCCAGCATTAGGCTCTTCTCCAGTGAATCCTTCCTTCTCATTAGGTGGCCAAAGTACTTGAGTTTTAACTTCAGGATCTGGCCTTCTAAAGAGCAGTCGGGGTTGATCTCTTCTAGGACCGACCGTTTTGAACGCCTTGCAGTCCAAGGGACTCGCAAGAGTCTTCTCCAGCACCACAGTTCAAAGGCCTCAATTCTTTTGCGCTCAGCCTTTCTTATGGTCCAACTTTCACAGCCATACATTGCAACTGGGAAAACCATGGCCTGGACTATACGCACTTTTGTTGGCATGGTGATGTCTCTGCTTTTTAGTATGCTGTCTAGATTTGCCATAGCTTTCCTCCCAGGAGCAAGCGTCTTTTAATTTCTTGGCTGCAGTCCCCATCTGAGGTGATCTTGGAGCCCAGAAAAATAAAATCTGTCACTACCTCCATTTCTTCCCCATCTATTTGCCAGGAATTGAGAGGGCCGGATGCCATGATTTGGTTTTCTTAATGTTGAGTTTCAAGCCAACTTTTGCACTCTCCTTCTTCACCCGCATCAAGAGGCTCGTTAGTTCCTCTTCACTTTCTGCCATTAGAGTGGTATCATCTGCATATCTTAGGTTGTTGATATTTCTCCCGGCAATCTTAATTCCAACTTTGGATTCATCTAGCCCTGCCTTTCTCATGATGCGCTCTGCATATAAGTTAAATAGGCAGGGCGACAGTA